CCGATCGATCCTAGGGAAGGGTTACAGGCACATTTGCCTGGGGGGTTATGGGCGCACTGACCCGCTACTGAAACAAGCCCTTTTATCCCAATGGTCTAGTGGTTGGGATTCTGAGAGTACAAGCAAGGTCAAGAGGAGAGCAAGTGAGGCAAGACAGGCACAAGACCCAACTGCGTGCAGCAACGCTGATGATCACAAGGCGCAAGTGCCTTGGTGAAGACATCAGCAGTGTTGGCCTCAGAGGCCACGTACGCAAGTCGCAGCTGTCCACGCTGCTGTAGCTCACGAGCAAGAAAGTAGCGAAGAGCAATGTGCTTCGTTCTGTGCTCCAGTCGCTGCTCTCGACACAAGGCCAGCATGGCCTTGTTGTCTACGTACAGGACTGGAGGAGAACGAGGCTGCTCTCCAAGGTCGGTCAGCAGGTAGGGACTGCTAGGGACTGCTTCTAGGGCCCACCGAACCGCGCCCCGAGGCGCGTTTTTTTTTTAGCGACCCGTCGTGTCGCCCCTAGCGGACCGTTGCGCCGCCCTTCCCCTCGCGGCTCCGCCGCCCTTCCCTAGCGGCCCCGCCGCCCTTCGATCGCGGCCCCGCCGCCCTCTGCTACGCGGCCCCGCCGCCGCCCTTCGATCGCGGCCCCGCAGCCCTCGGCTACGCGGCCCCGCCGCCCTCTGCCTCGCGGCCCCGCCGCCCTCTGCTACGCGGCCCCGCCGCCCTCTGCTACGCGGCCCCGCCGCCCTCTGCTACGCGGCCCCGCCGCCCTTCGATCGCGGCCCCGCCGCCCTTTGCCACGCGGCCCCGCCGCCCTCTACTACGCGGCCCCGCCGCCCTCTGCTACGCGGCCCCGCCGCCCTTCGATCGCGGCCCCGCCGCCCTCTGCTACGCGGCCTCGCCGCCCTCTGCTACGCGGCCCCGCCGCCCCCTGCTACGCGGCCCCGCCGCTCTCTTCGGTCGCGGCCCCGCCGCCCTCTGCTACGCGGCCCCGCCGCCCTCTGCTACGCGGCCCCGCCGCCCTCTGCTACGCGGCCCCGCCGCCCTCTGCTACGCGGCCCCGCCGCTCTCTTCGGTCGCGGCCCCGCCGCCACTCTGCTACGCGGCCCCGCCGATCCGCCCAGCAGCAGCCGCCGCCGCCTGAGCCACCGCCGAGCCGCCGCCCGAGCCGCCGCCGAGCCGCCAGAGCCGCCGCCGAGCCGCCCGTGACGCCCGAGCCGCCCGCGCCGCCCAGCAGCAGCCGAGCCGCCGCCGAGCCGCCGCCGCCCGAGCCGCCGCCGAACCGCCGCCGAGCCGCCGCCCGAGCCGCCGCCGAGCCGCCCGCGCCGCCCGAGCCGCCTGCGGAGCCGTGCTGCTGTTCCTCTGCTGCTGACCTACCCGCCTCTCCCAGCCCGGTGAGATTTTCAGCTGCTGTCATGGCCACCCCCAATGTTCTTACCTTTGACGCTGAGGGGAGGGCCATTGACTTTGCCGTCTGGATTGAAGACCTGCAGCTGTACTTACTGTGTGATGCGATAGATGAGGTCTCTCTCTTTGACTTTGTCTCTGGCGCTGTCCCTGCCCCACCTGCTGATGCTGACTCTGCCGTTCGCTCCAAGTGGGCGACCCGCGATGCTGCTGCACGTCTGGCTGTGCGTCGCCACCTCCCTTCCTCTGAGCGTGCCCACTTTAGTCAGTGCAAGACCGCTCAGGCCTTGTACGACGCTGTAGTTGCACGCTACTCCTCCCCTTCCTCCGCTACCCTTAGCCGCCTCATGCTACCGTTTCTCTTCCCTGACCTCGCTTCCTTTCCCACTGTCGCTGACCTCGTTACCCACCTCCGTGCTAGTGACACCCGCTACCGCGCTGCCCTTCCTGCTGAGTTCCGCGCTGCGAACCCTCCTCCCATGTACATCACTCTCTACTTTCTCGTCACCCGTCTCCCTGAGTCCCTTCGTGTCGTTAGGGACCAGTTTCTCTCTGTCTGTCCCACCACTCTCACTGTCGACCTCCTTGAGGAGTCCCTGCTAGCGGCTGAGAAGAGTATTGTCGCTGTAGGGGCCTCTCGGGGTGACCCTCGCACCCCTATCTTTGAGGGGTGTGGTCCTTCCCCCCTACTGCCCTCTGTCGCCTCTGCCGCTGCGGCCGACCTCACTGGTTTTGAGTCGGTCGGCGCGGCGTCTGCCCCCAGCGGCAGACGCCGCGCTGGCAAGGGCAAGGGGGGCAAGGGAGCGGGTGGAGCTAGAGGGGGCGGTGGAGGAGGCGGTGGGGGTGGCGGGGGGAGTGGGGGTGGCGGTGGGGGTGGTGGCGGAAGTGGAGGTCCTGGTGGCGGCGGTGGAGGCGGAGGTGGCGGCGGAGGTGGTAGCGGAGGAGGCGGTGGGAGCGGTGGGAGCGACGGTCCTGGTGGGGGAGGTGGAGGTGGAGACGGGGGTGGCGGTGGAGGCGGGGGTGGCAGTGGAGGCGGGGGTCGGAGTGGCTCGTCCCAGCGGAGCAGCTCCGGGGGTGGTCAGCGCCAGCAGCAACAGCAGCAGCAGCCGCAGCAGCAGCCACAGCAGCAGCAGCGCTCTCGCACCGTCCCCGCCCCTCAGCAGCTCCGTGAGTGGTACTCGCAGCGTCAGCGTGGTGGTGCGCTTGGTCCTTGCCCCTACGTTCTCCGCACCGGTGACCGTGCAGGGGAGAGGTGTGGAGGCGCCCACACTGCCCGCCGCTGCTTTGGCCGCCTGACTGACGCCTGGCGTCAGCAGTTTCCGGAGGCAGCTGAGATCCCCCGCTGGGGAGAGCTGTCTAGGGCTGGTGTAGCTATTTATGATCTTGATTTTGATGCTATTCTCTCTGCTATGTATGCTGCGATTGGTAGTGATGAGGATGACTGTTACCGGTGTTTCCCGCCCGACCCGGGCATTGGTACTGCCGCGTCAGGTACTAGTGAGGCTGCTGCTCTAGGTGCCAGTGCGTCTGTGCTCTGATACCATGTGGAAACAAAGAACGAGAATGAAATGACTATGAACGAAGTGAGTACAAATAGGAAACCCTAATTGGGTTGTACCCCCTATGGGATACCCCACTATAGCCTACAGAAACAAGTAAGCTATAAGTTCTGACACGAACGGCAGAGTCAGCATCAGCAGGAGGGGCAGGGACAGCGCCAGAGACAAAGTCAAAGAGAGAGACCTCATCTATCGCATCACACAGTAAGTACAGCTGCAGGTCTTCAATCCAGACGGCAAAGTCAATGGCCCTCCCCTCAGCGTCAAAGGTAAGAACATTGGGGGTGGCCATGACAGCAGCTGAGAATCTCACCGGGCTGAGAGAGGCGGGTAGGTTAGCAGCAGAGGAACAGCAGCACGGCTCCGTAGGCGGCTCGGGCGGCGGCACGGCGGCAGCTCGGCGGCGGCTTGGCGTCGGCTCAGGCGGCGGCGGCTCGGCGGCGGCACGGCTGCTGCTGGGCGGCGCGGGCGGCTCGGGCGTCACGGGCGGCTCGGCGGCGGCTCGGGCGGCTCGGGCGGCTCGGGCGTCTCGGGCGGCTCGGGCGGCGGCTCGGCGGCGGCTCGGCGGCGGTTCGGCGGCGGCTCAGACGGCGGCGGCTGCTGCTGGGCGGATCGGCGGGGCCGCGTAGCAGAGTGGCGGCGGGGCCGCGACCGAGGAGAGCGGCGGGGCCGCGTAGCAGAGGGCGGCGGGGCCGCGTAGCAGAGGGCGGCGGGGCCGCGTAGCAGAGGGCGGCGGGGCCGCGTAGCAGAGGGCGGCGGGGCCGCGTAGCAGAGGGCGGCGGGGCCGCGTAGCAGAGGGCGGCGGGGCCGCGTAGCAGAGGGCGGCGTGGCCGCGATCGAAGGGCGGCAGAGCCGCGTAGCAGAGGGCGGCGGGGCCGCGTAGTAGAGGGCGGCGGGGCCGCGTAGCAGAGGGCGGCGGGGCCGCGTAGCAGAGGGCGGCGGGGCCGCGTAGTAGAGGGCGGCGGGGCCGCAATCGAAGGGCGGCGGGGCCGCGTATCAGAGGGCAGCGGGGCCGCGTAGTAGAGGGCGGCGGGGCCGCGTAGCAGAGGGCGGCGGGGCCGCGTAGCAGAGGGCGGCGGGGCCGCGTAGCCGAGGGCGGCGGGGCCGCGATCGAAGGGCGGCGGCGGGGCCGCGTAGCAGAGGGCGGCGGGGCCGCGATCGAAGGGCGGCGGGGCCGCTAGGGAAGGGCGGCGGAGCCGCTAGGGGAAGGGCGGCGCAACGGGCCGCTAGGGGCGACACGATGGGTCGCTAAAAAATAACGCGCCTCGGGGCGCGGTTCGGTGGGCCCTAGAAGCAGTCCCTAGGAGGGAACCTGCTCTGATTCCATGTGAAACCAAAGAACGAGAATGAAATGACTATGAATGAAGTGAGTACAAATAGGAAACCCTAATTGGGTTGTACCCCCTATGGGATACCCCACTATAGCCTACAGAAACAAGTAAGCTATAAGTTCTGACATAAAGTCCTTAAACCACCTTGCGCTAGTATGTGAGGGCAAAGTAAGTTAATTAAAGCAAAGAGATACAGGAATATATATACGAGTACAGAGAATATGAAGAGACATAGTTGTAACTGTTTTACTGTTGCGATTCGATACACTGCGACTCGGGCAACTGCTCAATGTCGAGTCAGTTGTGTGTCCTTGCTGTCGCGCTGCGTCAGGTCAAAGGTCGCTGACCTTTGACTTTCTCGTAACCTCCATCGGTTACGTTAACCTCCGAGGGTTGACTCGCGGTGCTTCGATTTGAGCTGCTTCGCTTGTGTCTTGAGTTTCGACACGACAGAGGCGCTTAAGACTATTTGTTCCCAACAGTCAAAACACATTGAATGATATTGAAAATCCAATGCACGCTATGTGGATCAGGTGTTGGAGTTGTCATATACGTTAGGACGACGTGGTTTCTTAGTAAGAGAGTTTCCAAAAGTTTCCCTGTAAACGTGGGCGGTTGTGAGTGCACAAACGCATTGGCACCTGCTTTCAACCAGCTCCTATTCCACAAACAAAAAAAGTGTAATGTGTCATGTATTCTTATGGATTTCTATTTTATGTTTTCTTTAGCAAAAGCTTGTGCTGGAGATACAGTGCAGGTGTCAGGCGAGGCAACTGTATTGGAGCTGGAATTATTGGGGCTGGCTTATTGTGGGCGAATTCTTATTCGCTGGAATCGCGGTTCGACTCTCAACACCCTCCGCGGAAGCTGATTGGCGAGCGAAGCCAATGTACTTCATTGGAAACGCGGTTCGATAGCCTTGTTTGTTCCTCTCCTCCTCACCTCAGCTGAGCACATAAATCAATTCCCTTGGCCAAGCACAGCAACCACAACTCGATTTGCTTTGCACTTCATTGCTTCCACCAGTGTATTTCCACAGTCACGACAGTTGTTCGTTTCCTCGGTCTCGAAACTCTTCACCAAGGCTTGGTAACTGCTTTCACTGCGGTAGTTCGTCCAAAAAGTCTCGTGCTCCACCACCTCTTCTCCAATCATGGGGCGACGGGACGAAAGCATACTTATTGGAACCTTGGCAATCATTCTTGTAATAACCATTTCAGGTGAGGTTCCAAGCTTTTTTAAATAGCATTCCCGACGTTTCTGATGACTGACGAACGTGCGGTTCGCACGCACAACAGCCGTCTTGACCATCTTTTTTCTTGAGATTGTCTAGTCAATTCTCTCATTTTTGCGCGAATCGTGTGACAGGTATTCTCCTGGTTGCTATGCACAATCCCCACCGGAAAATAGATACCAACGTGCCTAATTTGCTCCGACATTTTACCGAATTTCCCGTGCAGCGTCTTCCTGGCAGACCGCCCGAGCATTCGGCTACGACGATGGCACCCAACAGGCCGACGGCACCCAGCTGAATACCGACGGCACCCAGCTGAATACCGACGGCACCCAGCTGAATTCCGACGGCAACCAGCTGAATTCCGGCGCCGATCAGAAGCAGCTGAATTCCGATGGCGTTCAGACCGACAACTCCGTGGCACCGATTGCAAATGACAACAGCGGATACACCAATAGCGGATATACCAATACACCCAGCGTTGAATCTGTCCCGGCCAAAACCAGCAAACCGAACTCCGGCGAAACTTCCGCGGCGATCGTCGTTCCCGTTGGCGCGACAGTCGGCCCGGTAGCCGTCAACGCCGCTGGCGGGCTCAAAGTGACGGGCGGCAACAACCAGGTGGAGATTAATCCTTCCGGTAGTGCTGACGTCAGCTCTGATCTGCTTAAGACCAGCGCTTCTGGGGATGCAATTGGCTCCGCGAGATTCAACCGTGAGGGAGTCACCGTGAACGCCGACGGATCCGCAAACGCGAACGTGTTTAACGGCGTCGGGACGGGCGAGGCGAACGCGAAGGGCAGCGCCGGCGTGACGAAAACCGGGGTCAACGCGGACGCCGCGATTGGAGCGAACGCTGACGTGGCAGGCGTAGGAGCGAATGTGAATGTCGGCGCTGGCGGCGGGTTCAACAAGAAAGAAGTTAACGCGAATGCCGGGTTTGGAGTTTACGGGAACGTGGGGAATATCGCGGGTGCCGGAACTAATATCGGATCGACGGCTAAGGTTAGCCGTGACGAGATTGCCGCGAATGCCGGGTTTGGAATTGGCGCGAATGTGGGAGGTATTGGGGCAGGAGGCACGGCCGCGTCGACGGCTGAGATTAGCCGCAAAGGCGTGAAAGCTGGGGCGAATGCGGGCGCTTCGGTGCAACTCGGCGACGTTTACGCGAGGAGCTTAGACGTTTCGGCTCAGGCGGAATTGCGTGGGTTGGGATTTACCCTAAATGTGAATCTTGTCGACCAGGCAAAAATCCTGGGAGTGAGCGGGAAAGACGAAGCTACGACGACGTTGGTTCTCGGCGATCCGAACACGAACGTGCCGCAGCTGGTGGTTCGGCTTAGCAAGGGGATGAGCTGCGTCAACATTCCGGACAGTTTCGCACGTTCGGCGAATTTCGTGCAGGTGTCGTGGCGCAGTACGGTAACGGCGGATGGGACGACAGAAGAAGTTGCGAAGGGGTGCAAAAAAATTGTCGCGCAGCCGCAGAAGGGGTGCCAGGGTAACCCGCTGAATAAATTCGAGTTCAATCCTTCGTCTGCCCGCAAGGCCATGAACAAGTTTTTCGGGTCAGTTTCGTCGTATACCCCCCTTCCATCCCCCCTTCCACGCTCCGTGGCTCTATCTGTATGCGCTATGCTTCCCTCCCTCTCCCCCTTCCCTTCCCCCTCCCTCTCCCCCTTCCCTTCCGCCTCCCTCTCCCCCTTCCCTTCCGTCTCCCTCTCCTCATTCCCTTCCCCCTCCCTCTCCCCCTTCCCTTCTCCCTCCCTCTCCCCCTTCCCCTTCCCTCCTTTCCCCCTTCCCCTTCCCCCCCTCCCCCTTCCCCTTCCCCCCCTTCACCCTTCCCCTCCCCCCACTTCCCCCTTCCCCTTCCCCCCCGTTCCCCCTTTCCCTTCCCCCTTTCCCACTCTCTTTTCCTCCCCACTCAGCCGTCTCTCCCTATCTCTCAACCAGTCCCTTCCTGCACTGCCCTAGATCGGCACCAACATACGTACCCCTTCTTGCGCCTCACACTGGCCTGCTCTAGTAGCTATTTGAGTATTACATCAACAATCTCTTTTTAGGGCGCCTAAAAAATCACCTCAATGCACGAGGATACATATTGAGGCGCCTCAAAAATCACCTTGAAGCTTTCAGAGTAATACACCAACAAACTCTTTTCGCACACTTTCCTATTCCATCACATTGTTCCCATCCTCCATTCCCCTACTTCCCCATTCCCTGCCTTCCCCTCTCCCTCCTTCCTTCCATCATCCCCCCTCTCCCCATTATTTTCCCCCCATTCCCCTCCGAACCAGCAGTGTCTTTCCAAAAAAGCTCTACTCACCCACTCGCCTCTCACCGACCTGTTCCCCCTTCCCCCGCACTTCTCCCTCTCCCCCCTTGCCTCTCTTAAACCATCAGCATGTTCCGCATCAAGAAAAAGGAGGTCGCCCGCTCCCTGCGCTGCGTCAACTGTGAGTCCCCGCCCCCCAAGTCCCCCCAGGTCCCCCCAAGTCCCCCCAGGTCCCCCCAAGTCCCCCCAGGTCCCCCAAGTCCCCCCAGGTCCCCCCAAGTCCCCCCAGGTCCCCCCAAGTCCCCCCAGGTCCCCCCAAGTCCCCCCAGGTCCCCCCAAGTCCCCCCAGGTCCCCCCAAGTCCCCCCAGGTCCCCCCAAGTCCCCCCAGGTCCCCCCAAGTCCCCCCAGGTCCCCCCAAGTCCCCCCAAGTCCCCCCAAGTCCCCCCAAGTCCCCCATAGCATCCTAGCTGCAATGTAGCGGGTGACTCAAAATCCACCCTGCTACCTGCGTTGTGCTGCAGTATCCACCCTTCCCCCCTTCCCCACAACCCCCCCCTCCTCTCTCCCCCCTGAAAAAAGAAAGTCCCAACTGCAGCATTCTAGCTGCCCAAGCAGCCTACCATCCTAGCATTCCAGCATCCTAGTATCCCAACTGCATCGCGGCACTCCCTGCACTTTCTTTTGAGACAACTCAAAGAGTCACCTCACCCATTGTCACGTCACCCATTGTCACCTCACCCGTTCTCACCTCACTCACCCGTTCTTGCCTCACCCACTGTAGGAGGAAATTCAGGAGGACAACAGGCAGCACTGGTGGTGTCTGTAGAGGTAAATGCAGGAGAACAACACGCAGCAGCCATTTCCAAGCTAAAAAACTCAAATAAGGCCCATTTCTCAAATAAGCTTCATCTGTTGCTTCTCTCACACAAGTCCCATTTCTTGTACGGTACCGTCCTTCTATGGTGTAGGCATCAACTACAGTATCTGCATGTCCCTCTTATATAATAATTGTAAAATGGCCATCAAGCCTTTTCAGCAGCAGTCTATCAACCTCGTAATATGGCGTACAGTACCATGTGTTACACATGCCCTACAGCAAAGATCCTACACCCAGCAATGCCTCGCTACCTATCTCTGGCTCACCTTCACATTCCCCTCTTTCCCTCCCCTCGATGAGGCTCCTCCCCTCCCACCCCCTCCTCTCCCTCTCCCTCCCCTCCCTCCTCTTCCCCCTCCCCTCCCTCCACCTTTCCCTTGTTCTCCTGATGCCCCTCCTGCCGCTCCCCCTCCGGCCCCTCCTGTTGCTTCCCCTTCCGAACCTACTGGTTTGGTTCGGCGCTTGCTTCGCCAGAGCAGCCGGATCGGTGTGCCTTCAAAGTCAATATTCTCCCGAAGCTGATTTTCCATGTATCGCCTATACTGCTGCCCGAAAAGTTTCGCGTCGTTCACGAAAAACACAAAGGTCGGTGGGTTGGTAGCTGCCTGAGTGCTGTAGTATATTTTTCCTCGTTTGTTACCCTTTCCGCCCCCGGGCAGCGGTTGAAAAGAAACAGCCTCTCCGACCACCTGGTTCAGTGTGGCTGTTGTGAGGCGCTTGGCCCGCTGCTGGGCAGCAAAACGGGCAGCTTCCAAAATCCTGAGCAAGGACGAGGCGAGAAAAGAGGAACATAGTAAGTGTGAGCGAGAGAATTCGCATGTGAGCGTGTGTGTGCGCCATGTGAGGGCATGCCAAGTAACTGCGTGCCATGTGAGGGCATGCCAAGTAACTGCGTGCCATGTGAGGGCATGCCAAGTAACTGCGTGCCATGTGAGGGCATGCCAAGTAACTGCGTGCCATGTGAGGGCATGCCAAGTAACTGCGTGCCATGTGAGGGCATGCCAAGTAACTGCGTGCCATGTGAGGGCATGCCAAGTAACTGCGTGCCATGTGAGGGCATGCCAAGTAACTGCGTGCCATGTGAGGGCATGCCAAGTAACTGCGTGCCATGTGAGGGCATGCCAAGTAACTGCGTGCCACACGAGAAGCTGATGACAGTGCTGGTGGTGGCCTTGCTAGGCGCTCAACTCGCACACCCATACACACACATCCTCACAAGCACTCACTTGGCCACTCTCTGCGCCGTGGTCGCAGAGGTGAACACCAGCGGAGCCCATTTTGCAATTTTACCCACATGCTCAAGCACCCCCCCCTGCCCCTCCTCCACACACACATCCTCACAGGCACTCACTTGGCCACTCTCTGCCCCGTGGTCGCAGAGGTGAACACCAGCGGAGCCCAGGGCATGGAGCGCAGCTTCCCCCGCACGTCCTCCGTGTAGCTCACTGTGCTGGTGGCGTCTTTATCCGGCACCGTGTCCCACTTGTTCACTATCACCACACACGCCTTGCCCTCCCTCTCTATCTGCTCCGCCAGTCGAAGGTCCTGTGGGAGGGGAAGAGATGGAGAGACGAGACGGGAGTGCAGGAAAAAAGGGTGAGGGAGAGAAGACCTGATTGCCCTCTGCGCCCGATTCACTGACAGCCCCTCCGCCCTGCTGCCTGCTGCCTGCTGCCTGCTGCCTGCTGCCCGCTGCCTGCTGCCTGCTGCCTGCTGCCTGCTGCCTGCTGCCTGCTGCCTGCTGCCTGCTGCCTGCTGCCTGCTGCCTGCTGCCTGCTGCCTGCTGCCTGCTGCCTGCTGCCTGCTGCCTGCTGTCCTAGAGGCACACGCGACCCCTATACAGTCACCACGCACATTCACACCCACCTGCTCTGTGACACACAGCATGGCATCAACCACCAGCCCCACCACGTCCGCCCGCCTGATGGCCCTCAGCGCGCGATTCACTGACAGCCCCTCCGCCCTGCTGCCTGCTGCCACTGCTGCTCGCCTGCGCACACCCGCTGTATCGATCAATGTGTACTCCTGAACAGAGATCACAGGGAGGACGGACACAAGTGAGAAAGGGGATGAGGATAGCTAGGAAATAGACCCTCCGCCCTGCTGCCTGCTGCCACTGCTGCTCGCCTGCGCACACCCGCTGTATCGATCAATGTGTACTCCTGAACAGAGATCACAGGGAGGACGGACACAAGTGAGAAAGGGGATGAGGATAGCTAGGAAATAGACCCTCCGCCCTGCTGCCTGCTGCCACTGCTGCTCGCCTGCGCACACCCGCTGTATCGATCAATGTGTACTCCTGAACAGAGATCACAGGGAGGACGGACACAAGTGAGAAAGGGGATGAGGATAGCTAGGAAATAGACCCTCCGCCCTGCTGCCTGCTGCCACTGCTGCTCGCCTGCGCACACCCGCTGTATCGATCAATGTGTACTCCTGAACAGAGATCACAGGGAGGACGGACACAAGTGAGAAAGGGGATGAGGATAGCTAGGAAATAGACCCTCCGCCCTGCTGCCTGCTGCCACTGCTGCTCGCCTGCGCACACCCGCTGTATCGATCAATGTGTACTCCTGAACAGAGATCACAGGGAGGACGGACACAAGTGAGAAAGGGGATGAGGATAGCTAGGATATAGACCCTCCGCCCTGCTGCCTGCTGCCACTGCCGCTCTCCTGCGCACCCCCGCCGTGTCGATCAATGTGTACTCCTGAATGGGCATTGTGGTAAGGAGAGTAGACATAGCAGGGAGAGGGGGTGAGAGAAGTTAGGAAACGGCCTTCCGCCCTGCTGCCTGCTGCCACCGCCGCTCTCCTGCGCACCCCTGCTGTGTCGATTAGTGTGTACTCCTGAACGGGAGGGAGAGGCAGCAAGGGGGATGGGAGAGGCAGCAAGGGGGATGGGAGAGGCAGCAAGGGGGATGGGAGAATTGAGGCAAGGATCCTCCGCCCTGCTGCCTGCTGACTTTTGAGTCGACTCAAAAGTCAATTGAGGCAAGGATCCTCCGCCCTGCTGCCTGCTGACTTTTGAGTCGACTCAAAAGTCAATTGAGGCAAGGATCCTCCGCCCTGCTGCCTGCTGCGACCGCTGCTCGCCTGCGCACCCCTGCTGTGTCGATCAGAGTGTATTCCTGAACGGGTTGAGGTGGGAGGCGGAGAGGAGATGGATTGTGGAGTCAGTAAGAGACGTTGATTCTGCTTTTTATCCGGCTGTTGCTGCTGCTGGTATAGGGAAGTACTCACTCATGCATGGTCAGTATGAGGACATATGCCACACAGCCCTGTCAGCAACGCATGAGCACACACACAAAACCACGCACGCACGCACGCACGCACGCACGCACGCACGCACGCACGCACCCACGCACGCACCCACCCACCCACCCACCCACCTGTCCGTCTGGTCCGGTGAACTTGGAGTCAATGGCATCGCGGGTGGTGCCGCTGACAGGGCTCACGATGGTGTGTGAAAGTACCCGTTATGAACATGAGGACACACACAAACAGACAAAAACACCCACCTGCCCATCTGGCCCGGTGAACTTGGAGTCAATGGCATCTCTGGTGGTGCCGCTGACAGGGCTCACGGTGGTAAGGGGAAATAATCTATCAGCTTGAGGAGACACACACACACACACACACACACACACACACACACACACACACACACACACACACACACACACACACACACACACACACACACACACACACACACACACACACACACACACACACACACACACACACACACACACACACACACACACACACACACACACACACACACACACACACACACACACACACACACACACACACACACACACACACACACACACACACACACACACACACACACACACACACACACACACACACACACACACACACACACACACACACACACACACACACACACACACACACACACACACACACACACACACACACACACACACACACACACACACACACACACACACACACACACACACACACACACACACACACACACACACACACACACACACACACACACACACACACACACACACACACACACACACTTGCACATAAACCCACCTGTCCATCTGGCCCGGTGAATTTGGAGTCGATAGCGTCTCTGGTGGTGCCGCTGACAGGGCTCACGATGGTCCTCTCCTCCCCCAGCAGCGCGTTCACTATGCTGCTCTTGCCCACGTTGGGCCGCCCCACTATTGCCAGAGACACTCGCCCCAGCTGCAGGGGAGTGTGGAGTGATAGAGCAGCACAGCAGGGAGGAATGAGTGACAATAATGATAGCAGCAATGAGAAAGAGTGGTTAAGTATAAAAGGCGCCTCAAAACGTACCCGAATGCTGGAAGTAGAGTAATTTGCTGGTGATGGTGGACGAGAGTGAGGTGGGGCTGATCGCGGTGGGAGTGAGTGAGATGAAAGTGAGTGAGATAAAAGTGAGTGAGATGAAAGTGAGTGCGGTGCCCCCAACACCTTAGGTGTGTGATTACCACCAAGCAGCGACCAACCTGTGTGGTAGCAGCAGTGTCGCTGCCGGTGATCGCGGAAAGAGAAGTGGACGATTCGGGTTCCTGCACGGTAAGAGGGGACAAGAGAGCAGATGAGAGGAGAGTAGTGTTTAGAGGAAAGGAGGAGAGGTGTGGGGAGTTTGAGCATGATAAAAAGCATGGTAGGAGTCTAAGCAAGAGAATGCTTGAGGGTTCTTACGGAATGAGTGTACTGTGTATCACCACGGACCTCCTCATTCCCCCCCGACCTACTAGTCATATATCAATCTCATCCCCCTCCTCATGCCCTCGACTTCTGCAACGGCAGCGCCTGTAAAGGCTCATCCAGCTGTGATGTGCTTTGAATTGTGCCTTCCCTCGTTCCCTTGATGACTATCAGCATTGTCGCCCGCATCGCATCAACTAACCAGCCTCCTGGGACAACAGCTCATTTAGCAGGTCGTCCGTGCCCGTGCCCGTGCCCGTCCCGTGCCCGTGCCCGTGCCCGTCCCGTGCCCGTGCCCGTGCCCGTGCCCGTGCCCGTGCCCATGCCAGTGCCAGTGCCCGTGCCCGTGCCCATGCCCGTGCCCGTGCCTGTGCCTGTGCCCATGCCTGTGCCCGTGCCCGTGCCCATGCCCGTGCCCGTGCCCGTGCCCGTGCCCGTGCTCGTGCCCATGCCAGTGCCAGTGCCAGTGCCAGTGCCTGTGCCCATGCCCGTGCCTCTGCCTGTGCCCGTGCCTGTGCCTGTGCCCGTGCCTGTGCCTGTGCCCGTGCCTGTGCCTGTGGCCGTGCCCGTGCCTGTGCCCATGCTCATTCCATCATCATCATCCTCCTCATCATGTGCCTGTGGTGGCTCACCTCCTGTGACGGCAGAGCCTTCATCAGCTCATCCAGCAGGTCACCCATGCCCGTGCCCATGCCTGTGCTTTGCTTTGCCTCCTCCCACACGCATACCCTGTGCCTCACCCCCCTCTTACTCATCCCCTCACCTCAGCGGACGGCAGAGCCTTCATCAGCTCATCCAGCAGGTCGCCCGTGCCCGTGCCTGACAGGGCAGATACAGCCATGGGGGTCAGGCTGGGGTGGGGTATGGAGTTGGGGGGGGGGGGGGGGGATGGGAATGAGGATGGGGCACAAGAGGGAAACAAAGCGAGGGGAGGGATGCGGATGGTGCAAGGAAAGCTCGCACTTGTGGGGGCCCAGCCCAGACGAACCAGTCCCAGCGACCAGCAGCCCAGCCCCAGCGACCAGCAGCCCAGCCAGCCCCAGCGACCAGCAGCCCAGCCCCAGCGACCAGCAGCCCAGCCCCAGCGACCAGCAGCCCAGCCCCAGCGACCAGGAGCCCAGCCAGCCCCAGCGACCAGCAGCCCAGCCAGCCCCAGCGACCAGCAGCCCAGCCAGCCCCAGCGACCAGAACTCTGCGGTCTGCAGGGGCCATTCGTGGGCGACTGACACTTATTCACTGCCAGTGTGTCTAACTCACCTTCAGTTCCTCCCCTCCTTAGCACCCTTTTTCCATTTCCACTCACCCCAGCGACCAGAGCTCTGCGGTTTGCAGGAGCCCCTTGGTGGGCGACTCGACTCGCACTTGTTCAATGCCAGGAAGATGCAAGGCGACAGCCACTTTTGAGTCGACTCAAAAATCGACTCACTACAGGAAGATGCAAGGCGACAGACAGCCACCATCCTCCCCTTTCCCTTCCTCATACTCACCTCAGCTGCAGGCTGTGAGGAAGTAACAAGGTCTCTTACTCACCCCAGAGACCAGAATTCTGCGGTTTGCAGGAGCCCCTTGGTGGGTGATTCACACTTGTTCACTGCCAGAAACACCGGCTTGCTGCTTGCCACGTGGCGCCGCCGCAGCCACTGAGCAATCTCCACGTCAGCAGCTGTTGCGCCAGCCTGGCAGAGTTTGGAAGGGGGAGATGTGGTGGGAGGGAGGGAGGTATGGGCGGGATTTGAGATTGGAGCGCATTAACACCTACAGCTATCTCATGCAGAAGAGGATTATACATGCCTGCCCAAACTTTCATGCTCGGCCCCACCCAGCTGCCCATCCGCCACCATAATGATCGCATCAGCCTCCTCCAACGCTGTCCTTTTATAGCATCTCACACAAACCATTAACCTCCCTGATATTTCAAAAACCCCCCACCTGCCCATCCACCCACCTGCCCATCCACCACCATGATGATCGCATCAGCCTCCTCCACGGCAGCAGCAGCAGCAGCATCACCTCTAAAGCAAAACCCTTGCCCATCGGCCCTGTAGAGGACAACCGTGTATCATCACCCACGTGCCCATCCACCACCATGATAATCGCATCAGCCTCCTCCACGGCAGCAGCAGCAGCAGCAACATCACCTCTAAAGCAAAACCCTTGCCCATCGACCCTGTAGAGGACAACCGTGTATCATCACCCACCTGCCCATCCACCACCATGATGATCGCATCAGCCTCCTCCACGGCAGCAGCAGCCTGTCGGCCAATCAGCTCCGGCAAACCCGCCACCTCAGCCTCCTTTGCCGCCCGCTCGTTGGCCAATCGGCCGCCACCACCTGTATCGGCCGCAACGATACGTGTATGTAGGTAGGGAATGAGTGACCGATGAAGAGGAGACTGTTTTCTCAAGCACTTGGGGTTCGGGGGCAGCTGGTGAACGGCAGAAGCATCTACAGAAACGAAAATTCGCTCCTCCAGTCTTGTCTCTCTGTTGAGTCCGATAGAATTTCTTGAGGTTTATGAGACAAACAGTTGCCTACACTCACCGCTGAGCTGAACGCAACGCCCTCGGGCCGGCCAGGCCAGTGCGAGCAAGGTTATAGGCAAGGCAGTTCCCTTTTGAGACTACTTACAAGTCAACTCGTTACATCCAGTCACTCACCAACGACAGCAACGCCATCCGCCTTGGCCAGTGCGAGCAATGCCGTGGACGAAGCTGATCCCCACCCTGCCCTCCCGCCCCTACCACCCTCGCCTCCATACTCAAGACAAACCACAACGTTACATCCAGTCACTCACCGATGACTGCGACGCCATCGGCCTTGGCCAGTGCCAACAATGCAGTGGACGAAGCTGATCCCCGCCCTGCCCTCCCGCCCCTACCGCCCTTGCCCCTCTTCACACCCACACCCTCTGCATCATCAGCAGCCGCAGCAGCAGCACCAGCAGCACCGCTAGCACCACTGGTAGCAGCACCACCAGCAGCAGCGGCAGCACCACCACCGGCACCAGCAGCAGCAGCATTGGGTGCGTCCATGAGGCCTCCGGTGTCCGTGAGAAGGAACTGCCGGCCCTCCCAGAGAGCACGCGCGTACAGCCTGTCCCTTGTCACGCCGGGCTCGTCATGCACTATGGCTATGTTGCGCTGGGGGGGGAGGGAGGGGTGGGGGGGAAGGGGGGAAGGGGAGGCGAGGGGGAGGAGGATGGGATTGAGAAGCAACAGCACTAGCAACATCACCACCAGCAGCGGCAGCACCACCACCGGCACCAGCAGCAGCAGCATTGGGTGCGTCCATGAGGCCTCCGGTGTCCGTGAGAAGGAACTGCTGGCCCTCCCAGAGAGCACGCGCGTACAGCCTGTCCCTTGTCACGCCGGGCTCGTCGTGCACTATGGCTATGTTGCGCTGGGGGGGGTGAGAAGGGGGAAGGGGCGGCAGACGGAGGGAGCAAGTACAGCAACATGCTATTGAGCAGCAGCAGCAGCAGCAGCAGCAGCAGCAGCAACAGCAGCAGCAGCAGCAGCAGCAGCAGCAGCAGCAGCAGCAGCAGCAGCAGCAGCAGCAGCAGCAGCAGCAGCAGCAGCAGCAGCAGCAGCAGCAGCAGCAGCAGCAGCAGCAGCAGCAGCAGCAGCAGCAGCAGCAGCAGCAGCAGCAGCAGCAGCACCACCACCACCACCACCACCACCACCACCACCACCACTGGCACAGCCGGCCCCTTGCCACCCCAGGCTCTTCACGCACTATGTTGCGGTGGAAAAAAAACCACTTTATTCCACTCCACTCCACTGCATCCCACTCAGCTCATATACCCACCCCCACGAGGCGGTTGAAGAGAGCTGACTTGCCCACGTTGGGTCGCCCCACTATGGCCACTCGCGGCAACGGTGAAGCATCTCATCTCAACAACACACATTAGGCCAATAATCAACAACTACACTCCACTCCGCTCCACTGCACCCCACTCCACCCCACTCCACCACTCACCCCCACGAGGCGGTTGAAGAGAGCTGACTTGCCCACATTGGGTCGCCCCACTATGGCCACTCGAGGCAGCAGATGCTCCGGTACCTGCCAGCCATGCCCCCATGCCATGGAGTAAAGAAAAGGGGCGTTTTTTTTTTTTTTAAACACATGTATGTGAACCCAATTTCATGCCAGTGCACATTATGCCATGCAATCTCTGTTGGTTCGGCCCACTATGGCCACTTGAGGCAGCCGTTGCGACTGCTCTCGTTCCCTTTCCTTCTTCTCTATCGCCTCCACCACCCGCTTTAAGGCGCCTAATAACTCCAAAAACCTTGATAAACCCGAAACCTCCGTAATCCCTTGCGATCAGACAACCGTTCCTAGCTCACCTCCTCTGTGACCACCTGTCGTCGTCGCCAGCATTTGCGCCTGCTCTCGTCCCTCTCCTGCTTCTCCATCGCATCCATCCACCACCTACCCTGATAAACCCTGAACCTCGATGAACCAGTAAACATTGATACACCTTCGAACCCTCAATTTTCGCAAGATTAACGCTCTGATCTCACCTCCTCCGTGACCTCCCGTCGCCGCCGCCAGCCCTTGCGCCTGCTCTCGTCCTGCTTCTCTATCGCCTCCACCACCACCGCCATCGCTGCTCTCTCCCAATCCGCTGCTGCCATCTGTACAACAGCATCGTCCTCCTCCTCGTCCACCTCCCCTTCCTGCTCTCCCTCCTCTAAACCCTCCTCCTCTTCGTCTAAATCGTCGATTTCATCTTCCCACTCTTCCTCCTCCCAGTCCTCCTCCTCCTCTTCCTCCTCCTCCTCCTCCTCCTCTACTTTCAGCGGTCCTTGCTTCCCCTTCTCCCCTTCCCCGGACCCCTTGATTGCGCGGAGGCGTGCTCCGCGGAATGCGGAAGGCTGCTTGTGCGAGACATCGTGATGAGATAGGGAGTGCAGAAACGACGGCGATCGCCGCCACGGGAGAAGTTCTGCTAGCCGGGAAGGAGTGGCGACGGGAAAAAAAGTTTTTGTTCTCGTAATATCTTATTTCTTTCTTCCTATTATAGTAATACTACATTGCTTGCGGTAAAATGCTGATGCAGAATCGTTTATAGACTACCCTGCAGATAGGAAAAACGCTTCACGACGCCTCACTAACGGTAACAATCAAATGCTTTGAACGGCCATCTCGAAATAAATTGGTAAAACAGAGACAGAAACGCCAGGAGACAGCCTAGCTTCCCTCAACTTTCAGAGGGAATGCCATGTGCTTTAAGTGGGGAATGGTGGCTCGGATCAGGGGTTCCGTGAGGAGGAAACTGCGCGAAGGAGATTACCAGAATGCAGCTTCGTCGCTTGGGGACAAGTCAACGATCTGCAGACCGCTAGCTGCGACGATGATGCAGCCATGATGGCTGCCGAAAAAATTCTGCTAAAACGATGAGAGGAAGCTATCACGCCATTCCTGACCTTCTCTAGTCAAGCTGCAACTTTTGGGGTTGAGCGTACGCGGCAGTGAGTGAACCTCTTTTGACGGAAGACCAACATACACAAATTGACTGTATCGAGCTGGAATATTCGTCCTTGTTGCGATTTCGTGTTGACGTCAACTTTGAATCAAAGGGATATAAGCTGCGCTTACCGAGGGCGACAGCCAATAATGAGTACAGACTCAATTGCTCTCCAGAAAATTCTGGTCAATTGTTTTGTTCCAACTTCGAATGGACCAATCAGAAGAGCGCGATGCTCCCAAGATCCACCTGACCACGAACCACGCTGGGGGGGCCAGTGAACACCGACACCAAACCAGGGAAGCCGAAGCGATTTTGACATCGATTTGTTTGTGTTGTGCTTTCTGTTGTGCTCCACGGGTTCTGATATCGATTTATTCTTGTGCGAATTGGATGTGGGAAGTCTCATGACGTCATTCTTCTGGAATTCAGACTGGTTGGACCAATGAGGGAAGTACAATTCAAGTCATGGAAGAAACAGAGGTGAAATGAAAATCGACCGTAAGAAGACTCTTCGTCTCGCTGCAGTACTGTACACGCCCTCACAACCTTTCCATTTGCTTGCAAAATGCACAAGGATCATTAGAAGGTGTCTCAAGTACCTGGTCCGCCCCGAGCCTGTTCGTTGCCAGAGTGTGCGTGCCTGGTCCGGAATTCTGCTCCGACGGACTCAGTTCGCAGACCAGGCGTGGACCAGACACGGACTGGTCTGTATGATACATCGCGTCGCGGGCTGTACAGTTTTCGCGAGTTAAAACAGTAGCGATGAGATTCGAGCATGCTGTAATCGAGTTACCTTTTTTCTGTGCAAGGTAAATTTCCCCATCCCGTCAAGCACGAAGTTCACGAGGGCCGTGCAGTTTCGCAAAGAAATGTGGGAGGTGCTACAGTATTCGGACCAGCCACAGGCTGGTCTGCCGACCAGTTCTATGACACCGATGTAGTGCCTTTCGAATTTTATAACGGGGTTAGATTTCCCGCATCCCGGACCAGTCCGTCGCTGGTTCACGTGGTGGATTTCGAGCTGGTCTGTCGGGTCCGCTTCGGACCCACGTGAACTCACGCATTTGAGACACGTCCTTAGGCAACTGTGCCAACTGTCAGATTCATGCAAGCTGATCGCCAGTTAGCTAGGGTGGCTTAGCTCCTCAAGTCCCTCCGTTTCCGTGCATCACGCTGCTTTAGCGATCTTCGTAGTCGTATTAGAAGCTCGTTTGCGCGGTTAGGCCACTGAATCCGGAACAGGGTCATTTGCGGGTTGCTATCAGGAGCCCAAAATGGCTTCGCATGTGCGAAATTCGCTACTTCTGGTCGTCATGATCAGCGCAGCAACGGGGGCTTTCGCCAGTATCAAGCCTCTTCGTGGCGTTCCCCCTCAAGGTGCTTGCGATAAGCTGTCGATATGCGTTTCCATATCGTGCGCTAAAATACACTTCGCACCGATCGGATCCTACGAAACTTACATTTTTTGCGCTCTACACTTCCCGTTCAGAATGGTTCTCCCTCCACCCACCCCCCCACACTCCCACCCCACCCCCTTCCTTTCCCCTCTCCTTCCGTTAAAATTGCCACGTACATCCATCCTGATCGTGACTAGGACGGCGAATAGTGGTTTGCCAGCTGGCTTCGCATGCTTGCTTGCGAATCTAGACGGACTCTAGTGGATCGCCAGCTGGACGGGTTTGTGCCACCTCACTTCGTCGGCTGGACATGGCGTAGTCTTGTCGAATTTGGGCTGCTCAATTCGGTATTCTTTTCTGATGATTCTTCTTCCTGCTCTGTGTTTGCGTCTGTCCCATGAATGTGCGTATGTATGAATCCGTGATTGTGTTTATGAGCGTATGTGTGTGAGGTGACGGAAGAGGAGAGGGAGGGGAGGGGGCCTGGGGAAAGGAGTCTTTGTGAGGGTAGTCGGGTGGGTGGGGGGTTGAGGCTGGGAGGTTGAGAGATGGATTGCCTTGCCTGTGTGGATATGGGGGATGCGGAATGAGGGTTGGATGGATGGGTGTGGGGAATGGCGAATGAGGGGTGTGTGGCTGAATGGGTGGGTGGGTGTGGTGTGAGGAATGATTGGTTGCAGATAAGGCCCTATTTTCGGGAGAGGTGTTCTCCTGCCGGGATGGTTCCAGAAAGTTGCACATCTCGCGAGTCAACGACGATTTCTGCGACTGCCCTGACGGCACGGACGAGCCTGGCACCTCCGCCTGCCCCAACTCCTCCTTCTACTGCCGCAACCGAGGCCACAACCCGCTCTCGCTCTTCTCGTCCCGAGTCAACGACGGCATTTGCGGTACGTGTGTGTGTGTGTGTGTGTGTGTGTGTGTGTGTGTGTGTGTGTGTGTGTGTGTGTAGCATGTGGTGCAGCGGGTATGTGATGCCCAGTTGCAAGCACGGACGAGCCTGGCACCTCCGCCTGCCCCAACTCCTCCTACTGCCGCAACCGAGGCCACAACCCCCTCTCACTCTTCTCCTCTCGAGTCAACGACGGCATATGCGGTACGTGCGTACATGGTACATGGCATGTGTTGCAAACTCCTGCGACTGCTCTGACGGCACGGACGAGCCCGGCACCCCCGCGTGTCCCAACGGGTCATTCTTCTGCCACAACCCCCTCTCGCTCTTCTCCTCTCGAGTGAATGACACCTATGACAAGATTTAAACGCAGTGCATGTGCTCTGTTGCAATCTCTCCCCTCACCGCCTCTCACCGCCCCACACCTCCCCTCACCTCTCTTCACCCCCCCTCACCCCTCCCAAGATTGCTGCGACGGCAGTGACGAGTACGATGGCAGGGTGGTGTGCCCCAACACGTGTTCCCAGGCGGGAGGGCGCTTACACATCACCTCTCTCTTTCCAACCCCGCCTCTGAATTTTTACCACAGATTGCTGCGACGGCAGTGACGAGTAAGATGGCAGGGTGATCTGCCCCAACACGTGCGCCCAGGCGGGGGCAACCAACTTATACACCACCTATCTCCTTCCCCACCCCCGCCTCCGTTGATTCAACAGATTGCTGCGATGGCAGTGACGAGTACGACGGCAGGGTCACCTGCCCCAACACGTGTGCCCAGGCAGGGGCGGCAAGGCAGCAGCAGCTGGATCAACTCCCCTTTTCCCCCCACCGCCACTCGCCCCCTCTCACCCCTCCACAGATTGTTGCGACGGCAGTGACGAGTATGACGGCAGGATTACCTGCCCCAACACTTGTGCTCAGGCGGGGGCGGCGAGGCGGCAGCAGCTGGCAGCTGACGTGGCAAAGCACAGGGAGGGCGTGAGGCAGCGGCAGCGGGCGGTGGAGGAGTGGAGGGAGAAGAAGGTTCGGCTGCAGGAGGAGAGGGTGAGGCTAGAGGAGGAGGAGAGAGAATTGCAGGAGAAGGAGAAGATTCTCAAAGGTATGTATGCACGGGGGAGTGAGAGGGCGTGAGGTAGAGGGAGAGGCAGAGGGAGAAGAAGGTGCGGCTGCAGGAGGAGAGAGGGCGGCTGGAGGAGGAGGAGAGGGAGCTGCAGGAGAAGGAGAAGGCTCTCAAAGGTATGTCTGGGTGTGTGCTTGTGCGCATGTGTATGGGTGTGAGGCAGAGGCAGAGGGCGGTGGAGGAGTGGAGGGAGAAGAAGGTGCGGCTGCAGGAGGAGAGAGGGCGGCTGGAGGAGGAGGAGAGAGAGCTACAGGAGAAGGAGAAGGTCCTGAAAGGTATGTATGCACGGGGGAGTGAGAGGGCGTGAGGTAGAGGCAGAGGCAGATGGAGAAGAAGGTGCGGCTGCAGGAGGAGCAAGGGCGGCTGGAGGAGGAGGAGAGGGAGCTGCAGGAGAAGGAGAAGGCTCTCAAAGGTATGTCTGGGTGTGTGCTTGTGCGCATGTGTATGGGTGTGAGGCAGAGGCAGAGGGCGGTGGAGGAGTGGAGGGAGAAGAAGGTGCGGCTGCAGGAGGAGAGAGGGCGGCTGGAGGAGGAGAGAGAGCTACAGGAGAAGGAGAAGGTCCTGAAAGGTATGTATGCACGGGGGAGTGAGAGGGCGTGAGGTAGAGGCAGAGGCAGATGGAGAAGAAGGTGCGGCTGCAGGAGGAGCGAGGGCGGCTGGAGGAGGAGAGAGAGCTACAGGAGAAAGAGAAGATTCTCAAAGGTATGTTTAAGTGTGGGAGTGTGTTTCTATGTGTGTGTGTATGTGAGGCAGCGGCAGAGGGCCGTGGAGGAGTGGAGGCAGAAGAAGGTGCGGCTGCAGGAGGAGAGAGGGCGGCTGGAGGAGGAGGAGAGGGAGCTGCAGGAGAAGGAGAAGGTTCTTAAAGGTATGTTAGAGTGTGGGAGTGTGGGAGAAGGAGCTACAAGAGAAAGAGAAGGTCCTTAAAGGTATTGGAGTGGGGGAATTGGAGGGCTAAGGCAGAGCCAGGGCGGCTGGAGGAGTTGGAGAAGGAGAAGGTTCTTAAAGGTGGGGAAGGGTCTTGGAGTGTGTTCGTGTGTGCGTGTGTGTGCATGTGTGTGCGTACATATGGGTGTGGAGAGTGAATCTTCTGTTTCGATGATGGGAGAAAGAGGCAGCTGCAAGAGAAGGAGGGTGGCTGTTGTTTAATAGAAGGTATATATGGGCATGAGTCTGAGACAGAGGGCTGCGGAATGCTAAGTATGCTGCACTTTTACCTCTCTCCCCTGCTGTTTTCACGCTTATCCACTCCTCTCTCTTCTCTCTGGCCGGACCAGAGAGGAAGGAGGCTCTAGAGAAGATAGAGGAGAAGGAGAGGGAGATGCAGATAGAGGAGTATGCAGATAGAGGAGTATGCTTATAAGAGGAGTATGCATGAATTCTGTGAACACCCTTCTTCTCCTCTTCCTCCCACTCTTCTCCCCTCCTCTCTCCCCTTTGTCTGGACCAGAGAGGAAGGACGCATTAGAGAAGATAGAGGAGGAGGAGAAGGAGAAGAAGAGGAAGATAGAGGAGGAAGAGGAGGCCAAGAGGAAAGCAGAGGAGGAGAAGCTTCACCCACCACCCGCCGAACCTGCCGAGCCTGCTGCCACCGAGCCTGCAGCTGCCGAACCAGGGGCAGCTGAGCCTAACTCTGCTGAGCCTGCGGCTGCCGAACCTGCTTCTACCGAACCTGCTTCTACCAAGCCTGCTTCGACGGAACCTCCAGTGCAGCAGGGAATGGTGGGGGAACCCCTTCGTGCTGATGCCGATGCTCCTGACTTTGTTGCTGATTCCCCTGCTGCTGCTGCTGCTGCTGCTGCTGCTGCGGCTGCTGTTGATAGTTTGGTTGCTGGTGATGATGCTGCTGCTGCTCCTGATGCTGCTGCTCCTGCTGATGGCAACGAGAAATCCAACGAGAGTGGCAAGGAGATGGATGATGATGAGAGCGATGAGGACCTGTCGGGGCTGTCTAAGGAGGAGCTGGGGCGGAGAATCGCGTCCCGATGGGCGCATGGGGAGGACGGTCCTGGGGGCGCGGAGGTGGAGGGGGGAGACGGGGACGGGGGGAAGGCGGACGGGGAGGGTGAGGGGGAGGGGGATGATGGGGTTGATTTGGGCGGGGAGGATGGGTTGGGTTATGATGATGGGGATGATGATAAGGACTATGAGGACATGGAGCATGATGCACATGGTGATGATCATGATGAGGATGATCATGATGGTGATGATGGTGATAATGACCATGACCATGGGCATGAGGACCATGCTGATGATGATGCGTTGGAGGATGCGGAGGACTTTGCTGCCCATACGGAGCATGAGGATGATGATCCGTGGCGGCATGAGTCAGGTACGTTGCTACAGCACATCATACACATCATACACATCGTACACATTATACACATCATAAACACATCATACACATCATATACATCATACACATCATACACATCATACACATTATGCACATCATACATATTCTAAACGTCATACATAATTTACACATTTTGCACTGCACTGCACCGCACTGCAGTGTACTGCCACACCATTCACAGGCAGTTGTATAATCGTGTCTCCTCCCTCGTCTCCTATTCACTCTCTCTTCTCCCTCCTCCCTCTTCTCGCTCCCCTCCACCTCCCCCTTCTTTCCCCGTCAGCCCCTGCTGCCCCTTCGCCCACATCCTTGAGGGACAAGGCAAGGCAGGTGTGATCGCGGGTCTCCTACCTCGCCTCCTACTCACCCTCCCGCCCTCTTCTTTCCCCCATACCCCCCTTCCCGCTTTTCCTCCCGCCCCACCCTCCTCCCGCTTGCTCCCCGCCATCAGCGCCTGCCCCGCCGCCATCGCTGTGGGACAAGGCAAAGCAGGTGTGGACGCGGGTGTCCGCCCTCGTCTCCACCAAGCCTTCTCTGCCAGTGAACGAAACAGGTGGGTCTGTGAGCGCGTGTAAGTGGTTGGTACCTAATACGGTACCTCGGGTGTGTTCAAAGGTGTGAGCAGGTGTGACAATTCTCTCCGAGCACAACGGTATCTCATCCCAGCTTAATAAAGCGAACCAACACCTTGAAACCTCCCCTCTCTTCTCCCTTCCCCAACGTCCCCTCCCTCCAACCCCCAGACCTGCTTACAATCCGCTCAGAACACAACCTTATCGCATCCCAGCTCAGCAAGACAAATCAATGCCTTAAAGCGTCCTCTCCTCTCCCCCCTCATCCCAGCTCAGCAAGACAAATCAATGCCTTAAAGCGTCCTCTCCTCTCCCCCCTCCAACCCTCTCTCCTTCTCCAGACCTGCTTACAATCCGCTCAGAATACAACCTTATCTCATCCCAGCTCAGCAACACAAGTTAACGCTTTGAGCTTTCCGCCACCCTCTCCCATTCACTCTTCACTCTTCCTCCCCGGTGCAGATCTGCTGACAATCTGCTCCGAGTACAACTCTATCTCATCCCAGTTTAATAGAGCAAACCAACACGTTCAAACCTCCCTCTTTGCCCCATTCACTCTTCACTCTTCATCCCCGGTGCAGACCTGCTGACGATCCGCTCCGAGTACAACGTTATCTCGACCAAGCTCAGCAAGACTAAGGGGCGACTTCGCACGGTGAAGGAAAACCTGGAGAAGGACCTGGGTGAGTGTGGTGTGGTGTGGTGCGGTGTGGTGTGGTGCGGTGCGGTGCGGTGCGGTGTGGTGTGGTGGTGTGGTGGTGTTCTCAGTAAAGGAAAAGTTCAAGAAGGGCCTGGGTGAGTGGAAAGTCGTTCCAAACAGAGTGGGACCTTTGTTGTCGGATAAAACCCTTTCACTCGCTTTCAAGTCAAGCTTGACAGGGACCTGAGTAGGTGCAGATTTGAGACTTTTGCTGCTATTTTTCTCTCTCTCTTTACCTGCAGGTCCTGACGGCGAGTTTGCTTCATTCGCCGACCACTGCTTCTCCTTCAAAGTCAACCAGTTAAGATGCCAATCCGTATGCACCATGCATGTCCATGCCATGCCATGCCATGCATGCCCATGCCATGCCACGCATTCCAATGCCATGCCCATGCCGTTCTCCATCCAACCACCAACCTCCCCCTCACTTCCTCCCCTTCCTCCCCCTTCCTCCCCTTCCTCCCCTTCCTCCCCCTTCCTCCCCTTCCTCCCCCTTCCTCCCCCTTCCTCCCCTTCCTCCCCCTTCCTCCCCTCCCTCCCCTTGTAAAGCTCGTTTCTCACTTGACCATCCACCATGTTGCTCTTGACCCTCTCCTCCCGTTCCCCCCTTCCTCTATCCACCTCCTCTTCCCGTCCCTTCTCTCCCACACCCTCCTCCCATTCCCCTCCTTCCCAAACCCCCCTCCCATTCCCCTCCTTCCCAAACCCCCCTCCCATTCCCCTCCTTCCCAAACCCCCCTCCCATTCCCCTCCTTCCCAAACCCCCCTCCCCTTCCCCTCCTTCCCAAACCCCCCTCCCCTTCCCCGTATGATGCGAAAGACGCGTCCTGCGTCCTGGACGCATGCGTCCAGACGCATGCGTCCGGATGCAGGACGCTTCACCAGGACCAGAAAGACGCACCAAAAGACGCAGTCCCGGGCAGGCAAAAAAAACCCCCCCGGGCAGGCAAAAAAACTTGTTATAGGGCATGGGATGAGGGGGGGGGGGGGGGGGGAGAACGTTCCACACTTTCAAGGCAAACTTGGCCCCAACATCAAATTTTCCCCCAAATCTCAAGATTAAGGTGAGTCACGTTAGATGACGTAGGGTTGCTTGAGGAAGCCATAATGGAGCTAAGCTATGCTTGTAGGCTAAAACCTCTAGGGTTTTCGAAAGAGAATTGGTTGGGTGGGTGAAATGAGAAATGACTTGGTTGGATTGCTAAATGGGCTTGGTGGTAGGCACCTTGGTTGGGTTTTCTAGATGTGAAGTGGTTGAGAGGTATTTGGAATTCAATTGTTGCATGGGGGGTTATGAAATGTTGGGGGGGGGGGCTGTTTTTCAATGTCGAATTGGGCAATGGGGGGTCAAAATTTCGCGATTTCGACAGTCGCGTCGAAATCGCGAGATTGAAATTCGTAATCTGGAAAAAAAAAAAAAATCGGGGCAGCCCGAAAATTTTTCGATCTGCGTCCTGCGTCTGGACGCGCGTCTTGCGTCCTAGCGTCCAGACGCTGCGTCCAGACGCAGGACGCAGCGTCCTCTGAGCGTCTTTCGCATCATAGCCTTCCCCTCCTTCCCAAACCCCCCTCCCCTTCCCCCCTCCCCTTCCCCCCTCCCCTTCCCCCCTCTCCTTCCCCTCCTTCCCAAACCCTCCTCTCCTTCCGCCTTCTCCCAAGACACCCGCCTTGCCTCTCCCCCCTCCACACCCTCCCCCTCTCGTCCCCCTCAACCCCAGATATGAGTACGAGGTGTGCCCATATTTTTTGCTTTTGAGTCGACTCAAAAGCTCCCCCCTCCACACCCTCCCCCTCTCGTCGCCCTCAACCCCAGGTATGAGTACGAGGTGTGCCCATATCGGCAGGTGAAGCAGAAGGAGAAGCACCACTCTGATACCACCGTGGGGTGAGTGAGGGATGCTTTGCGGTGCTGTGTGATGCTGTGTGGCGCTGTGCGGCTTCGTGCGATGCTGTGTGTTTGATTGTTTCTGTAAGAAGGCGAAGCAGAAGAAGAGTCACCAATCTGATACCACTATCGGGTGAGTGAGGGTTGCTGTGCGGTGGTGTGTTTCGTTGTGCAATGCTGTGCAGTTCTGTGCGGTGCTATGTGCCACTGTAAGAAGGTGAAGCAGATGGATGGGGGATCACCACCAGTCTGCTCTGATACCAGTAGTACCCCAGTACTTGCCCCCACAGTGGAGCTACCGGTGTGCTATGCGGTGCTGCGGGGTGCTCAGAGCTGCTATTCTTGTTAGAACGACAAGCCGAAGAAAAGCTTGAAAAGAGTGTTGAGAAGAGTCTCTATATAGTACCACTGCAAGCTTCGTGTCTCTTATCCAAGAATGACCAAAATCGCGCTTCTCCCATCAACCCTCCGTCTCTCGTTCGCCCATCCCTGCAGCATTCGGCTTGCTTGCTTTCACCCCTGCAGCATTCGGCTTGCTTGCTTTCATCCCTGCTGCATTCGGCTTGCTTGCTTTCATCCCTGCAGCATTCGGCTTGCTTGCTTTCATCCCTGCTGCATTCGGCTTGCTTGCTTTCATCCCTGCTGCATTCGGCTTGCTTGCTTTCATCCCTGCTGCATTCGGCTTGCTTGCTTTCATCCCTGCAGCATTCGGCTTGCTTGCTTTCATCCCTGCAGCATTCGGCTTGCTTGCTTTCATCCCTGCTGCATTCGGCTTGCTTGCTTTCATCCCTGCTGCATTCGGCTTGCTTGCTTTCATCCCTGCTGCATTCGGCTTGCTTGCTTTCATCCCTGCAGCATTCGGCTTGCTTGCTTTCATCCCTGCTGCATTCGGCTTGCTTGCTTTCATCCCTGCTGCATTCGGCTTGCTTGCTTTCATCCCTGCAGCATTCGGCTTGCTTGCTTTCATCCCTGCAGCATTCGGCTTGCTTGCTTTCATCCCTGCTGCATTCGGCTTGCTTGCTTTCATCCCTGCTGCATTCGGCTTGCTTGCTTTCATCCCTGCTGCATTCGGCTTGCTTGCTTTCATCCCTGCTGCATTCGGCTTGCTTGCTTTCATCCCTGCTGCATTCGGCTTGCTTGCTTTCATCCCTGCTGCATTCGGCTTGCTTGCTTTCATCCCTGCAGCATTCGGCTTGCTTGCTTTCATCCCTGCAGCATTCGGCTTGCTTGCTTTCATCCCTGCTGCATTCGGCTTGCTTGCTTTCATCCCTGCTGCATTCGGCTTGCTTGCTTTCATCCCTGCAGCATTCGGCTTGCTTGCTTTCATCCCTGCTGCATTCGGCTTGCTTGCTTTCATCCCTGCTGCATTCGGCTTGCTTGCTTTCATCCCTGCTGCATTCGGCTTGCTTGCTTTCATCCCTGCAGCCGCTGGTCGGGCTTTGAGGACAACTACCAAAGGATGATGTTCAAGAACTCTCTTCCCCCCCCACTCCCCTCCCCATCCCTCCCCCTCCTCCCACCTCATCCCTGCAGCCGCTGGTCGGGCTTTGAGGACAACTATCGGACGATGATGTTCAAGAATGGTGATAAGTGCTGGAACGGACCCAACCGGAGCATTAAGGTGGGTGGGGTGCTGCTACGGTATGGGGTGTTGGGTTGGGGCACTGCAGTACCAATGGGTGAGGCTTTGAGGACAACCATCGCTCGATGATGTTCAAGAATGGGGATTAGTGCTGGAACGGACCAAACCGGAGAATTAAGGTGGGTGGGTGGGTGGGTGGGCGGGTGGTAATGGGATGGTATGGGCTGGTAAATTCTGTGGTATAGGGTGGGATAGGGTGGTATGGATTATGGTATGGGGGGGATGTTAGTGTATTGCAGTAGCTACAAGCCGGGCTTCGTGATTGGTCACGAAATTCGATGATCGGGAATGTTGATAAGTGTTGGGATCTTTGAGACGTCTCAAACATACACGTCATTCACGTGGATGATCGGGAATGTTGATAAGTGATTGGGTTCCAACCGATCCCGACCATACGGCGGGGTGTTGTCATGGTTGAGTTTTTCTCCGTTTTTTTTTTTAGAACCTCTCTTTCTTCTTTTTAATATTCGAAAATATCTCACCACCACCACCACCACCCATGTGACTGCAGGTGAAGCTGGAATGCGGACTGAAAACAGGGATCAGATCAGTGGAGGAACCCAGCCGATGCGTGTGAGCTGTGCTTGATTCTCAAGGGTGGATCTCTTTTAACCCCTGCTTTTCTGCTCAACTGAGTCTCACTGCAGGTGAAGCTGGAGTGCGGACTGAAAACAGGGATCAAGTCAGTGGAGGAACCCAGCCGATGCGTGTGAGCTGTGCTTGGTTCTCAAGGGTGGATCTCTTTTAACCCCTGCATTTCTGCTCAGCTGAGTCTCACTGCAGGTGAAGCTGGAATGCGGACTGAAAACAGGGATCAGATCAGTGGAGGAACCCAGCCGATGCGTGTGAGCTGTGCTTGGTTCTCAAGGCTGGATCTCTTTTAACCCCTGCTTTTCTGCTCAACTGAGTCTCACTGCAGGTGAAGCTGGAGTGCGGACTGAAAACAGGGATCAAGTCAGTGGAGGAGCCAAGCCGATGCGAGTGAGTGTGTCTTCCCTGTTCCACTCTTAGTGATACCTAACACCGTACATGTCCTTCTTCTTTGTTTGCTTTTTTTATTCACTCGAGAATCAGAGCGAACTGAAAGTGCGAGAGGTAGAATTAGGCAGTACGAGTGAGTGTGGCTTTACCGTTCCACTCCTAGTTCCACCTGTTGCATACCCCCCTTCTTCTTCATTTACGTCTCAATACATCTGAGAATCAGAGTGACTCAAAAGCGAGAGACGGAGCCCAGACACTTTAGTTTTAAATCTACCATCTGGAGGCTTGCAGGGAGCCCAGCCGATGCAAACGGGTGTCTCCTTTTGTTCCACCCCTAGTGACACATCAATGGCTGACGGTTCCCGCCTCCCCATCTCCCGCTCTCCTTCCCTCCCCATCTCCCTCCACCTTATTAGGTACGAAGCGGTGCTCGTGACGACTGCAGTGTGCAACGCAGAGCTGGCACAGGTGCGGGGAAATGCGACAAATAAAACACTTTTCCACCTTCTGTCATTAAATGGTGCTTGTTTTTGTGCTACTGGTCTGCATGACTCTACCAGTGACCAGCACACAAACCTTGGTCATTCTTTTTTCTGTTCTGTCTATGTTATTTCAAGTGGAGTTACCTAAGTCCCCTGGTGCGCAAATCTTAACACCTGTGCTACTTTATTGCAGGAGCTGGAGAGGCAGCTGAAGCAGATGGAGGATGATTTGGCTGGTCACGATGAGCTGTAACATTCTAGACATTAGGGGTGTAACAGCTGTAATGAATTGTATAATTTACGGCGATGGAGCAGAAGAAGGTACAGGCGTCTACTTTCTTGGCTAGCTATCCTTCCAACGAAGCTCGAACTGTAACGCTTCTTCAAGAACGTGGTTAGAAGACCAATCTAAATATCGTACACATTCCACACACTTCCTTCCACTGCAACAGTTATGGTGCAAGGTGTGCATATTGTGCCGTGTATTGATATGAAAACGGATGCAGTGCAGTTGGAAAGTATACCGTATTCTCCCGGACATAACACCTTAGGGTATAGCTAGAAATACAGGGAAAAAATGGGGGGGGGGGGTCTCCTCGTAGGAAAAAGAATACATAATACCCGGGTCTTTACGTATGGCATATTTTAGTGTTAGTGTATTTTTAATTAGTCAATGTGGGTGTTTTGCTGGTCGTTTTAGCATCACTGCCTGAGGCGCGAATGTGAGTTTCGGCCTCGAACTTCATCGCCCCCACGAAAATGGCATGTGGCACCTCTCTTGCCACTTGCAACGGAAGATTCACCTGCACGTGGCGACAGAGAAATAGTGGGAGGGGGCAAATCTCGGCAGATTGCCTTTGAATGTACCGCGAAATTTCATCTAGGGAGAAATTCACACGATATTCTTCCGTATTGCAGCTACTCGTTAACGACTATAATAATGAATCCGTAAGAAAAGGGGGGTGTTATAGAAAATCAGCCAAAAAGGGGGGTATAGTAGAAACGAGGTCTATCATAACACCCACCCCGCACAAGCTACCCGGGGGTGTACAATTATGGGGGGGTGTTTTGTCCGGGAGTATACGGTACATACTGTATGCCTATTTTGCTTGTACGACAATCATCCCTTCCCAGGGAATCCAAACTTCACACCAGAGTACAACAGCTGCTGCGATGCCGATTCACAACACCCAAACCTCCTACCAGGCGCACTTAAGAGTAGCAGTCCACGAAATTCTACACTTCCCAATCAACCAGTATGCACAGTGCACAAAAACGGGTCTTGCGCCGAAACAAATGTTCTACTCTTGATTGCCCCTAGCTGTTGGATTCGTGCCCTAAGACTCGAGCGCTCCACTCTTTTTACTCGTGTTTCTCAGCTGGAGGGTTCTTGATTCCAGCGTAAGTGCGGATGAGGTTTGCCCCGCTGGGGTCGGTGATGAGATGGCTGATGAGGCGGAAGCGGAGAGGGTTGGAGGCGACCAGGAAGGTGGAGAAGGCGAAGAGGAGGAGGTCGAGGGAGGAGAGGTTGGACGCCAGGAAGCCCCGCCATAGCCTGAGGGGTGGAGAGGGGTGAATCAGGGTGGAAAGTGGTGGAGGGGGGCGGAAAGGGGCGGAGAGGGGCGGAGTGGGGTGGAGAGGGGTGAAAAGGTGAGGTTTGTTATTCCAGCGTAAGTGCGGATGAGGTTTGCCCCGCTGGGGTCGGCGATTAGATGGTTGATAAGGCGGAAGCGGAGAGGGTTGGAGGCGACCAGGAAGGTGGAGAAGGCGAGGAGGAGGAGGTCGAGGGAGGAGAGGTTGGACGCCAGGAAGCCCCGCCATAGCCTGAGGGGTGGAGAGGGGTGGAGATGGGTGGAGAGGGTTGGTGAGGAGCAAAGAAGGGCGGAGAAGGGTGAGGGGAGAAGCGGAGTGGTGGGGAAGGGTCGAGAGGGGTAACTAAGGGGTGGAGAAGGGGTGGAGGAGAATGGAGAGAGGTAGAGCTCGGGAAAGAGGGAAATGAGAAGGTTTGGTGCAGTAGGAGGGTAAAGCGTCTCACACAGTTGGAAGGCTGAAAGGCTAAGCACACTATCTTCTTCAAACGTAGAAGATATTGCATGCCTGTTTGAGTTCAAAAAAAAAACTTATAAAAGACTCATGTGCAGGCAGTTTCAAAAGCAGGCAATCCCGTGTGGGGGGCAGCTTGAAGAAGGCGTTGAAAATTTCTCGAGTGGCCGGTGAGTCGAACCGCAAAATGAGTGCATTCTGAGTCGACTCATAGGTCACCTAGGTAGGGGGCAGCTCATCTTGGACTCTAAGGTGTATTCCGGTTTGACCCAAAGCTCACCTGGGGGGCAGCTTGAAGAAGGCGTTGTATTTTGAGGCGCCTCAAAATACACCTCACTAATAGGTCACCTAGGTAGGGGGCAGCTCATCTTGGACTCTAAGGTGTATTCCGGTTTGACCCAGAGCTCACCTGCGGGGAAGCTTGAAGAAGGCGTTGAAGAAGTCTCGGGTGGCTGGTGCGTCCAGCTGCAGAACTCAAAGGTGCGTTTTGAGTCGCCTCAAAGCTCACCTAGTGGCAGGTCACTTGGGGGGAGGCTCACCTGGGGGGCAGCTTGAAGAAGGCGTTGAAGACATCTCGGGTGGCTGGTGCATCGAGCTGCAGAATGAGTGTCTTTAAGTCGAACCACAAGGTTGTATGTTGAGTTGAGTCGACTAAATAACTCACCTGGGGGGCAGCTTGAAGAAGGCGTTGAAGAAGTCTCGGGTGGCTGGTGCATCGAGCTGCAGAATGAGCTCGAGGCCAAATATCATGAATGATTGCTGCCTCTTGCGCTCTGCTGACCACAGGTGGTCCCAGGCTGAAAATCCAGAGGGCACAGAGCACGGGGGCACAGGGCACAGGGCACGGGGGCACAGGGCACAGGGCACAGGGCACAGGGCACGGGGCACAGAGCACAGGGCACAGGGCACGGGGCACGGGGCACAGGGCACGGGGGCACAGGGCACGGGGCACAGGGCACAGGGCACAGGGCACAGGGCACAGGGCACAGGGCACAGGGCACGGGGCACAGGGCACAGGGCACAGGGCACAGGGCACAGGGCACAGGGCACGGGGCACAGAGCACAGGGCCCAGGGCCCAGGGCACAGGGCCCAGGGCACAGGGCACCTTGAGTTGCAGCTTCTAGTGAAGTTTGGCTGGGAGAGCGCAGAGCAGCAGCGAGAGCAGTGGCATAGTGGGTAGCTCGGTGTTACAGCCCCACAACCGCACTGCACCTAGAACCTGTCGTAACTCACAGGCCCACACTAAGCAACCTACCTTGAGTTGCAGCTTCTAGCGAAGTTCAGCAGGGAGCGCGCAGAGCAGCAGCGAGGGCAGCCCCAGAGCCCCACACCTCAATAGCCCCACAGCCCCACAGCTCCACACCTCGATAGCCCCACAGCTCCACAGCCCAACACCAGCCTACCTTGAGTTGCAGCTTCTAGTGAAGTTCGGCTGGGAGAGCGCAGAGCAGCAGCGAGGGCAGTGGCATAGTGGGGAGCTTCGGTGAGAGAGCGAGTGATAGAGTAGCCTGTTGGGGAGGGGGGACATTTGGGAAAGAGGGATGGAAAAACGGGAAGGAAAGGGAGATGGGGTATTTGAGTGAAGGAACAAGCAGAGCCGCAGCAAGGCAGCAGCATCACCAAAACTCACATGGTGCTTGCGTGCTTGCTTACCTGTGACGACAAGGATCTAACGTTTCACAAAGTTGGTGCTTAAAAAAAACAAACGCCTAGCAAAAAAGCTCACCTGTGACGACAAGAATCTAAGGTTTCAAGAAGTTGGTGCTTCAGAATATCCAATCTCCGATGGTTCGTAAGAGTATCCAATCTTGAGAGTTGGTGGTGCTTACCTGTGGCAGGATGAATCATGGACGCAGCAGCACCAAAGCCCAGGTGCTGCTGCGTGGTAAGAGGGAGAGAGCCGCCCACAGGGATGTAGGACCACTCCTGGTAGGTGGGGCGAAGGGGAGAACTTTTGAGACGTCTCAAAAGGGATGTAGGACCACTCCTGGTAGGTGGGGCGAAGGGGAGAACTTTTGAGACGTCTCAAAAGGGATGTAGGACCACTCCTGGTAGGTGGGGCGAAGGGGAGAACTTTTGAGACGTCTCAAAAGGGATGTAGGACCACTCCTGGTAGGTGGGGCGACTAAATAACTCACAAGGTTGTATGTTGAGTTGAGTCGACTAAATAACTCAGAATACAACCTTGTCTCATCCCAGCTCAGCAACACAAGTTAACGCTTTGAGCTTTCCGCCACCCTCTTTGCCCCATTCACTCTTCACTCTTCCTCCCCGGTGCAGATCTGCTGACAATCTGCTCCGAGTACAACTCTATCTCATCCCAGTTTAATAGAGCAAACCAACACGTTCAAACCTCCCTCTTTGCCCCATTCACTCTTCACTCTTCCTCCCCGGTGCAGATCTGCTGACAATCTGCTCCGAGTACAACTCTATCTCATCCCAGTTTAATAGAGCAAACCAACACGTTCAAACCTCCCTCTTTGCCCCATTCACTCTTCACTCTTCATCCCCGGTGCAGACCTGCTGACGATCCGCTCCGAGTACAACGTTATCTCGACCAAGCTCAGCAAGACTAAGGGGCGACTTCGCACGGTGAAGGAAAACCTGGAGAAGGACCTGGGTGAGTGTGGTGTGGTGTGGTGCGGTGTGGTGTGGTGCGGTGCGGTGTGGTGTGGTGGTGTGGTGGTGTTCTCAGTAAAGGAAAAGTTCAAGAAGGGCCTGGGTGAGTGTGGTGTGGTGTGGCGCGGTGTGGTGTGGTGCGGTGCGGTGTGGTGTGGTGGTGTGGTGGTGTTCTCAGTAAAGGAAAAGTTCAAGAAGGGCCTGGGTGAGTGGAAAGTCGTTCCAAACAGAGTGGGACCTTTGTTGTCGGGATAAAACCCTTTCACTCGCTTTCAAGTCAAGCTTGACAGGGACCTGAGTAGGTGCAGATTTGAGACTTTTGCTGCTATTTTTCTCTCTCTCTTTACCTGCAGGTCCTGACGGCGAGTTTGCTTCATTCGCCGACCACTGCTTCTCCTTCAAAGTCAACCAGTTAAGATGCCAATCCGCATGCACCATGCATGTCCATGCCATGCCATGCCATGCATGCCCATGCCATGCCACGCATTCCAATGCCATGCCCATGCCGTTCTCCATCCAACCACCAACCTCCCCCTCACTTCCTCCCCTTCCTCCCCCTTCCTCCCCTTCCTCCCCTTCCTCCCCCTTCCTCCCCTTCCTCCCCCTTCCTCCCCCTTCCTCCCCTTCCTCCCCCTTCCTCCCCTCCCTCCCCTTGTAAAGCTCGTTTCTCACTTGACCATCCACCATGTTGCTCTTGACCCTCTCCTCCCGTTCCCCCCTTCCTCTATCCACCTCCTCTTCCCGTCCCTTCTCTCCCACACCCTCCTCCCATTCCCCTCCTTCCCAAACCCCCCTCCCATTCCCCTCCTTCCCAAACCCCCCTCCCATTCCCCTCCTTCCCAAACCCCCCTCCCCTTCCCCTCCTTCCCAAACCCCCCTCCCCTTTCCCCTCCTTCCCAAACCCCCCTCCCCTTCCCCCCTCCCCTTCCCCCCTCCCCTTCCCCCCTCTCCTTCCCCTCCTTCCCAAACCCTCCTCTCCTTCCGCCTTCTCCCAAGACACCCGCCTTGCCTCTCCCCCCTCCACACCCTCCCCCTCTCGTCCCCCTCAACCCCAGATATGAGTACGAGGTGTGCCCATATTTTTTGCTTTTGAGTCGACTCAAAAGCTCCCCCCTCCACACCCTCCCCCTCTCGTCGCCCTCAACCCCAGGTATGAGTACGAGGTGTGCCCATATCGGCAGGTGAAGCAGAAGGAGAAGCACCACTCTGATACCACCGTGGGGTGAGTGAGGGATGCTTTGCGGTGCTGTGTGATGCTGTGTGGCGCTGTGCGGCTTCGTGCGATGCTGTGTGTTTGATTGTTTCTGTAAGAAGGCGAAGCAGAAGAAGAGTCACCAATCTGATACCACTATCGGGTGAGTGAGGGTTGCTGTGCGGTGGTGTGTTTCGTTGTGCAATGCTGTGCAGTTCTGTGCGGTGCTATGTGCCACTGTAAGAAGGTGAAGCAGATGGATGGGGGATCACCACCAGTCTGCTCTGATACCAGTAGTACCCCAGTACTTGCCCCCACAGTGGAGCTACCGGTGTGCTATGCGGTGCTGCGGGGTGCTCAGAGCTGCTATTCTTGTTAGAACGACAAGCCGAAGAAAAGCTTGAAAAGAGTGTTGAGAAGAGTCTCAATATAGTACCACTGCAAGCTTCGTGTCTCTTATCCAAGAATGACCAAAATCGCGCTTCTCCCATCAACCCTCCGTCTCTCGTTCGCCCATCCCTGCAGCATTCGGCTTGCTTGCTTTCATCCCTGCTGCATTCGGCTTGCTTGCTTTCATCCCTGCTGCATTCGGCTTGCTTGCTTTCATCCCTGCAGCATTCGGCTTGCTTGCTTTCATCCCTGCTGCATTCGGCTTGCTTGCTTTCATCCCTGCAGCATTCGGCTTGCTTGCTTTCATCCCTGCAGCATTCGGCTTGCTTGCTTTCATCCCTGCTGCATTCGGCTTGCTTGCTTTCATCCCTGCTGCATTCGGCTTGCTTGCTTTCATCCCTGCAGCATTCGGCTTGCTTGCTTTCATCCCTGCAGCATTCGGCTTGCTTGCTTTCATCCCTGCTGCATTCGGCTTGCTTGCTTTCATCCCTGCTGCATTCGGCTTGCTTGCTTTCATCCCTGCTGCATTCGGCTTGCTTGCTTTCATCCCTGCAGCATTCGGCTTGCTTGCTTTCATCCCTGCTGCATTTGGCTTGCTTGCTTTCATCCCTGCTGCATTCGGCTTGCTTGCTTTCATCCCTGCAGCATTCGGCTTGCTTGCTTTCATCCCTGCAGCATTCGGCTTGCTTGCTTTCATCCCTGCTGCATTCGGCTTGCTTGCTTTCATCCCTGCAGCATTCGGCTTGCTTGCTTTCATCCCTGCAGCATTCGGCTTGCTTGCTTTCATCCCTGCTGCATTCGGCTTGCTTGCTTTCATCCCTGCTGCATTCGGCTTGCTTGCTTTCATCCCTGCTGCATTCGGCTTGCTTGCTTTCATCCCTGCAGCATTCGGCTTGCTTGCTTTCATCCCTGCAGCATTCGGCTTGCTTGCTTTCATCCCTGCTGCATTCGGCTTGCTTGCTTTCATCCCTGCTGCATTCGGCTTGCTTGCTTTCATCCCTGCAGCATTCGGCTTGCTTGCTTTCATCCCTGCTGCATTCGGCTTGCTTGCTTTCATCCCTGCTGCATTCGGCTTGCTTGCTTTCATCCCTGCTGCATTCGGCTTGCTTGCTTTCATCCCTGCAGCCGCTGGTCGGGCTTTGAGGACAACTACCAAAGGATGATGTTCAAGAACTCTCTTCCCCCCCCACTCCCCTCCCCATCCCTCCCCCTCCTCCCACCTCATCCCTGCAGCCGCTGGTCGGGCTTTGAGGACAACTATCGGACGATGATGTTCAAGAATGGTGATAAGTGCTGGAACGGACCCAACCGGAGCATTAAGGTGGGTGGGGTGCTGCTACGGTATGGGGTGTTGGGTTGGGGCACTGCAGTACCAATGGGTAAGGCTTTGAGGACAACCATCGCTCGATGATGTTCAAGAATGGGGATTAGTGCTGGAACGGACCAAACCGGAGAATTAAGGTGGGTGGGTGGGTGGGTGGGCGGGTGGTAATGGGATGGTATGGGCTGGTAAATTCTGTGGTATAGGGTGGGATAGGGTGGTATGGATTATGGTATGGGGGGGATGTTAGTGTATTGCAGTAGCTACAAGCCGGGCTTCGTGATTGGTCACGAAATTCGATGATCGGGAATGTTGATATGTGTTGGGATCTTTGAGACGTCTCAAACATACACGTCATTCACGTGGATGATCGGGAATGTTGATAAGTGATTGGGTTCCAACCGATCCCGACCATACGGCGGGGTGTTGTCATGGTTAAGTTTTTCTCCGTTTTTTTTTTTAGAACCTCTCTTTCTTCTTTTTAATATTCGAAAATATCTCACCACCACCACCACCACCCATGTGACTGCAGGTGAAGCTGGAATGCGGACTGAAAACAGGGATCAGATCAGTGGAGGAACCCAGCCGATGCATGTGAGCTGTGCTTGGTTCTCAAGGGTGGATCTCTTTTAACCCCTGCTTTTCTGCTCAACTGAGTCTCACTGCAGGTGAAGCTGGAGTGCGGACTGAAAACAGGGATCAAGTCAGTGGAGGAACCCAGCCGATGCGTGTGAGCTGTGCTTGGTTCTCAAGGGTGGATCTCTTTTAACCCCTGCATTTCTGCTCAACTGAGTCTCACTGCAGGTGAAGCTGGAATGCGGACTGAAAACAGGGATCAGATCAGTGGAGGAACCCAGCCGATGCGTGTGAGCTGTGCTTGGTTCTCAAGGCTGGATCTCTTTTAACCCCTGCTTTTCTGCTCAACTGAGTCTCACTGCAGGTGAAGCTGGAGTGCGGACTGAAAACAGGGATCAAGTCAGTGGAGGAGCCAAGCCGATGCGAGTGAGTGTGTCTTCCCTGTTCCACTCTTAGTGATACCTAACACCGTACATGTCCTTCTTCTTTGTTTGCTTTTTTTATTCACTCGAGAATCAGAGCGAACTGAAAGTGCGAGAGGTAGAATTAGGCAGTACGAGTGAGTGTGGCTTTACCGTTCCACTCCTAGTTCCACCTGTTGCATACCCCCCTTCTTCTTCATTTACGTCTCAATACATCTGAGAATCAGAGTGACTCAAAAGCGAGAGACGGAGCCCAGACACTTTAGTTTTAAATCTACCATCTGGAGGCTTGCAGGGAGCCCAGCCGATGCAAACGGGTGTCTCCTTTTGTTCCACCCCTAGTGACACATCAATGGCTGACGGTTCCCGCTGTTGGAAACAATAAGTCCTAAGTGCGCTTCTGTCGTATCAAAATCCAAGGTACCAAGCGAAGCAGTCCCAATCGAAGCATCGAGTCAACCTCGGAGGTTAGGGTAACCGCCTGGAGGTTACGAGAAAGTCAAAGGTCGCTGACCTTTGACTCGACAATTACAGCGCGACAGTTAAGGACACACAACTGACTCGTTACAGAGCAGTTGCCCGAGTCGCGCTATATCGAACCGCAACAGCAATACAGTTATCTATTCCCTGTACTCTTATATAAATCCTTGTATTTGCTTGTTTAATTCAATCAACTTTGCTCTCACACACCAGTGCAAGGTCGGTTCAAATTCTTCACTAAACGCTTCCGCTATTACAACTACTTCACCTAGAGTTATCCCTTGCAAAGATCCTAAGGGGCTATCTCAGCCCAACATGGTATGAGAGCAGACAAGGGAAATTCTACTCTTTTTCAATATCATTACAAGACATGGCAACAAACAAGGAAAGGAGCTCCCCTAATGGCTCCTCGGGCACTACTCCTACTCCACCGTCAGCCTCTGGCCTGCAGACAGAAGAAGGCACGGCAACAAGACCAAGAGGAACGTCAACCGAGACCCCCATGAACCACCCTTCGGACTTTGACCAGAACATGATGGAGAAATTTTTCTCCTTCATGTCCTTCTACGAACAACACCAGCAGTCGGGACCTGCACAAACACACAACAGCAACAACGGAGCGACACCCATGAGTCTTGATGGGTCGTCATATGCGCGAGGAAACCAGCAGCAGCAACCTACCTTTGCTCCGTACGAGCGCGGGTCAATCAGCTTCGTGCCCCACCCGCAACCTTCACCTGGACAAGAAAGACCACTGGACGCACTTCAAGTTCAGTCGCAGTTTGCACACGTCTTAAAACTGCAAACGTCAAGACCCTTCGACGGCAAAGACTTCTTTACCTGGTCCTTTGAATTCGAGCTGATGATGGAGGGCGCGCAGATACTCGGCTTCTTCGACGGGTCCCTGCAGTATCCAGCCAACGGGACACAATATGAAAAGCAGCAGTATACGTATCAATCAATGATGGCGTATACAATCCTATTGAGGAATGTGACACCAACTCAGCAGCAGAACATTCGCTCTTACCGGACCTTCGGCAACTCGGCGGAGCTCGCGTACAGCCATCTGAAGAACCTGTATCAAGCAACAGACAGTGTAAACCAGAGCAGGTTAATGGCGCAGTTGACGACAGTCGAAATGAAACCAGGAGAAAAAGGACTGGCGTATATCAGCCGATGTCGCGAACTGCGCGACAAGCTGCTTCGATGCGGAGGGTCAATCTCTGAAGACGCCTTCGTGACAGTCATCATTGGTGGGCTTGGTCCTCAGTGGCGCGCCACCAAAGCCATTCTTCGAGCCCACGGAAGAATCTCTGAAGCTGCACTCTGCGCCGAAATACATGCCGAGCAGCAAGATATGGACCTGCAGGAAGAACGACACAGGAAGAAAACGACAGTATCAGAGTTCGCATTCCACACTCAACGACGACACAGCAATTATAACAACCGACAGCAGCAACCGAAGATAGTACCTCCCTTCTGCCACATCTGCAAGACTTCAGGGCACCCGCGCACACACTGCCCGAATCGTCAGCAATCAACGGCACCACAGCGACAACTTCGACCTTCAAGCTCCCAAATGGCTTCAACACAAGCAAGTGCGACGACCACTATTCAAGCTTCAACGACTTCACCCGGACAACCTGCACAAGGAGCAAGAAATATAATCAACTGCATGACGAAGATAACCGATTCATGTACAACCGAATCACCACCACACTACTCACCGGAAGAAGAGCTTGACAACAGATTGCCTCGCCGTGAGCTACTCCAGCCGAATCCAACGTACGCCGCCATCGCTCAAAGTGAACCGTCCGGCCAAGACACCTGGTTCTTGGACAGTTGCTGCGGGCAACACATGTGCTCGTCCGGGCGTTTCGTACAACGCGAACATCGACTCCAACGGGAAGTGATCATCACGGTTGCCAACAACCAAAACCTGCGCACACGAAGACAAGGAGTGGTACAGCTTCAGTCAAGAGAAACAAATGTCATACTGCACATGTCTAAGGTACTCATCGCTGAAGGACTCGGCTACAACTTACTGAGCGTTAGCCAGTTGATGGCGAAAGGAATTCATCTGGAAGCCGACAGCACGACCCAGGAGTTCAAACTTTACCACGGGAGAGGCGGTCTCTACATCGGGAAAGCAGTGCTGAAGAACAACGTCTTCGTCCTCGACTTCGTTCCTGACCTGGGCACTGCAGACAGCGACGCCATCGTGAATTTCACTGACTGGACACACCCTCCGGATCTCGACCCCGACTTCAGCCCAGGAGGCTTCTGGTACTCGCACACCATTCCTGAAGCAGAACGAACACGAGCATTGGCAACAATTCGACAATCGGCAGCAGTAACAACATCGGCAGCAGCAACAACATCAGCAGCAGTAAAAACATCGGCAGCAGCAACAACATCAGCAGCAGTAACAACATCGGCAGCAGCAACAACATCAGCAGCAGCAGGAACAACGACACCAGTCACAGTCGACGAAGCACCACCAACACCCGCGAAACAGCTGAATCCGACTCAACGTGAAGTCCACCGAAGCGCCAACCTCGTCGCCAGCTTTTACTCCAACTCCGACGCATATCAGCGTTCACCTGGACACCGTGCCTCTGAAGAGATCTGGCACGCACGAACAGGACATCCAAGCAACACGGTTTTGAATAACACGATAAGAGCAGGAGTCCTTGACAAAGATTCTCTACTTCTACCCGATGGCAGAGAACTCCAGAAGGCACGAGGGACTTGCCTTATATGTCCCGAAGCTGACTTACCTCATCGACCGTTTGCTTCACATCACAACCCGAGCGCTCCAGCGTACGCACCACTCGAAAAAGTCTACAGCGACATCCTCTACAATCGCGAGCCAGGACAAGTCAACTACAACTACACCATCACCTTCATCGACGCCGCCACTCGATACGTCTGGCATCGCAACCTACCCAGCCGCGACATGGCGCTCGCAGCATTCGCCGCCTGGCTACCGATAGCAGAGAGAGAGTCTGGAACACAACTGAAAAAATTCCAGTCAGACGGAGGTGGCGAGTACACCTCTCACCGCTTCAAGCAGTTCTTGGCGGAAAGGGGGATCAAGCAACTCCTCTCCCTTCCTTACGCACATCAGCAGCAAGGTGTTGCAGAACGACTGAACAGGACCCTGCAGAACAGCATGCGCAAACTATTACGTGGCATGCGGCTACCCAACCACCAGTGGCCAGCAGCAATGGACCACGCTGTCATGCTACACAACTTGTTGTCGTCGTCGTCACTCCCGAACAACGCATCACCGCATCTGCTGTGGACAGGGAAGCAGGGCAGCACGAAAATGTTACGAGTTTTCGGGTGCATGGTACAGTACAGACCCCCAGAAGCACGAGCGGGAAGATTTTCGCAACGGGCACAGTGGGGACTACACCTCGGCATCGAGAAAAATTACAACGCATGGAAAATCTTCGACGTCCACACAAAGGAAACAGTAGCAGCACGTGACGTGATCTTCTACGAAAGACTCACCCTTCAGACGTACCTCGCCAACTTGCACGAGAATCGGGACCTCACCAGTGGTTTTCGTGGTGACCGAGCCTTCGCGTCAGCAGCGGACGAAGCAGACTGGGATGAACAGAACGTCGACAACGCCTCAGAAGAAGCCGGACCTCTCCCATACTGCTCCGTCGACGTGCCCATGGATGAGGATAATCCTCGCGACAGTAACAACGCCGAAATCTTCTACCGTTTCGCCGACGATGGTTACGTAACACCTGTGACAGTCAACACCAACGAAGCAGAAAGGGTAGGGCCAAATTTCATGCCCGACCCAGAAACGGGAGACGAAGCAGCTTATCCCGAGGATCCAGAACTCCCTCGATACTCACAGACTGGGCTGCAAATCCTCGGCCTCGTCACCGCAGTCCACGGGAACACACGCAGCTCGCTTCCTAAGGAGCCTGCAACGGTTCAGCAGGCTCTGGGGGGGGAACACAGGGAGAAATGGCGTGAAGCCATGGATAGAGAACTGAAGGCATTAGAGGAACGCAACACTTGGAAGGTTGTTCCCGTAAGCGTGGCACGGAACAAAACCATCCTTACCGGGAAATGGGTCTTCCGCATCAAGACGAAAGCAGACGGCACGATCGAAAAATTCAAAGCACGCTGGGTCGTACGTGGATTCGACCAAGAGCAAGGACGAGACTTCACCGAGACCTTTGCTCCAGTCAGCCGCCACACGTCACTCCGAATTCTCCTCGCCATTGCCGCCATGAAGAAGAAGAAGTTACGGCAGATCGACGTCGCGAATGCCTTCCTCTACGCACCTGTGGATGCAGAAATCTACGTCGAGCTCCCGCACGGTTCCCACGGCGAACCCAACCGAATCTGTCAACTACTTAAGTCGCTCTACGGGATCAAGCAGGCACCGCGACTGTGGCAGCAGTACCTGCACGCCCGTCTCATCCGCATCGGCTTTAGTCAACTACCTCACGACCAAGGCATGTACCGCCTCACTAAGGGAAGCGACTACGTTCTCCTGATCGTCTACGTGGACGATCTCCTCTACATTGGGTCAACCGACGGCATCGCCACGTGGTTCGAAGGAGAGCTCCAGAAAGACCTCACGCTCACGGTCTCCTCCACCGTTACACAGTACCTCGGGCTCAACATCCGCGAAGAAGAAAACGCCATCTATCTAAGCGCCGAGAAATACGCCGACACCATCGCGAAACGCTTCAGCCTCACACCAAGCGCCATCTCCACGCCCTACCGCTACACATCAGGAACCGAGAAGGAACGAACTACTCTACTCAAGCCCGCCGGCATACGCGACTATCAGAAGAAGCTCGGATGCCTGCTATTCGCCGCCGTCACCTGCCGTCCTGACTTATCCTACTCCGCAAGTCAGCTCGCCACCTATCTCAAGAAGCCTGAAGCTGAACACCTGGCGGAACTTGATCGCGCTCTCCACTACTTCGTCAGCACCGCGACGATCGGGCTAACCTACCACAAGAGCGCAGCTACACCGACTAAGCTAATCGGCTACGTCGACGCCGATCACGCCGGCGACACCGACAACAGGCGCTCACGCACCGGCTATGTCTACCGCCTTGAGCCTATCGGTCCTATCTCCTGGCAGTCGAGCAAGCAGGAGTTAATCGCACTATCTTCAGCAGAAGCAGAATATATTGCACTCTGCTCAGCCACCAAGGAGGGACTTTACCTTCGCGAACTACTGGAAGAAGCGAAGCTAGCCGAGTTACCCAGCTTCACCGTGTTCTGCGACAACCAGTCAGCAATTCGCATCGCCAACAAAAACGGCTTCGCAAACAGGACGAAACACATCGCCCTGCGCTATTTCTTCGTGAAGGACGAGATAGAAAAAGGGAAACTCGATCTGTCATACTGTCCAACATCCGAGATGGCAGCCGATTACTTGACCAAGAAACTCGGCAAGCAGAAGTTCGAATACTGCATGATGCTGACTGGACAAGGCCACGTCACCAGCAGTAACACTCCAGAAGCGAAGGGGAGTGTTGGAAACAATAAGTCCTAAGTGCGCTTCTGTCGTATCAAAATCCAAGGTACCAAGCGAAGCAGTCCCAATCGAAGCATCGAGTCAACCTCGGAGGTTAGGGTAACCGCCTGGAGGTTACGAGAAAGTCAAAGGTCGCTGACCTTTGACTCGACAATTACAGCGCGACAGTTAAGGACACACAACTGACTCGTTACAGAGCAGTTGCCCGAGTCGCGCTATATCGAACCGCAACAGCAATACAGTTATCTATCTATTCCCTGTACTCTTATATAAATCCTTGTATTTGCTTGTTTAATTCAATCAACTTTGCTCTCACACACCAGTGCAAGGTCGGTTCAAATTCTTCACTAAACGCTTCCGCTATTACAACTACTTCACCTAGAGTTATCCCTTGCAAAGATCCTAAGGGGCTATCTCAGCCCAACACCCGCCTCCCCATCTCCCGCTCTCCTTCCCTCCCCATCTCCCTCCACCTTATTAGGTACGAAGCGGTGCTCGTGACGACTGCAGTGTGCAACGCAGAGCTGGCACAGGTGCGGGGAAATGCGACAAATAAAACACTTTTCCACCTTCTGTCATTTAATGGTGCTTGTTTTTGTGCTACTGGTCTGCATGACTCTACCAGTGACCAGCACACAAACCTTGGTCATTCTTTTTTCTGTTCTGTCTATGTTATTTCAAGTGGAGTTACCTAAGTCCCCTGGTGCGCAAATCTTAACACCTGTGCTACTTTATTGCAGGAGCTGGAGAGGCAGCTGAAGCAGATGGAGGATGATTTGGCTGGTCACGATGAGCTGTAACATTCTAGACATTAGGGGTGTAACAGCTGTAATGAATTGTATAATTTACGGCGATGGAGCAGAAGAAGGTACAGGCGTCTACTTTCTTGGCTAGCTATCCTTCCAACGAAGCTCGAACTGTAACGCTTCTTCAAGAACGTGGTTAGAAGACCAATCTAAATATCGTACACCTTCCACACACTTCCTTCCACTGCAACAGTTATGGTGCAAGGTGTGCATATTGGGCCGTGTATTGATATGAAAACGGATGCAGTGCAGTTGGAAAGTATACCGTATTCTCTCGGACATAACACCCTAGGGTATAGCTAAAAATACAGGGAAAAAATGGGGGGGGTCTCCTCGTAGGAAAAAAAATACATAATACCCGGGTCTTTACATATGGCATATTTTAGTGTTAGTGTTTTTTTAATTAGTCAATGTGGGTGTTTTGCTGGTCGTTTTAGCATCACTGCCTGAGGCGCGAATGTGAGTTTCGGCCTCGAAATTCATCGCCCCCACGAAAATGGCATGTGGCACCTCTCTTGCCACTTGCAACGGAAGATTCACCTGCACGTGGCGACAGAGAAATAGTGGGAGGGGGCAAATCTCGGCAGATTGCCTTTGAATGTACCGCGAAATTTCATCTAGGGAGAAATTCACACGATATTCTTCCGTATTGCAGCTACTCGTTAATGACTATAATAATGAATCCGTAAGAAAAGGGGGGTGTTATAGAAAATCAGCCAAAAAGGGGGGTATAGTAGAAACGAGGTCTATCATAACACCCACCCCGCACAAGCTACCCGGGGGTGTACAATTATGGGGGGGTGTTTTGTCCGGGAGTGTACGGTACATACTGTATGCCTATTTTGCTTGTACGACAATCATCCCTTCCCAGGGAATCCAAACTTCACACCAGAGTACAACAGCTGCTGCGATGCCGATTCACAACACCCAAACCTCCTACCAGGCGCACTTAAGAGTAGCAGTCCACGAAATTCTACACTTCCCAATCAACCAGTATGCACAGTGCACAAAAACGGGTCTTGCGCCGTAACAAATGTTCTACTCTTGATTGCCCCTAGCTGTTGGATTCGTGCCCTAAGACTCGAGCGCTCCACTCTTTTTACTCGTGTTTCTCAGCTGGAGGGTTCTTGATTCCAGCGTAAGTGCGGATGAGGTTTGCCCCGCTGGGGTCGGTGATGAGATGGCTGATGAGGCGGAAGCGGAGAGGGTTGGAGGCGACCAGGAAGGTGGAGAAGGCGAAGAGGAGGAGGTCGAGGGAGGAGAGGTTGGACGCCAGGAAGCCCCGCCATAGCCTGAGGGGTGGAGAGGGGTGAATCAGGGTGGAAAGTGGTGGAGGGGGACGGAAAGGGGCGGAGAGGGGCGGAGTGGGGTGGAGAGGGGTGAAAAGGTGAGGTTTGTTATTCCAGCGTAAGTGCGGATGAGGTTTGCCCCGCTGGGGTCGGCGATTAGATGGTTGATAAGGCGGAAGCAGAGAGGGTTGGAGGCGACCAGGAAGGTGGAGAAGGCGAGGAGGAGGAGGTCGAGGGAGGAGAGGTTGGACGCCAGGAAGCCCCGCCATAGCCTGAGGGGTGGAGAGGGGTGGAGATGGGTGGAGAGGGTTGGTGAGGAGCAAAGAAGGGCGGAGAAGGGTGAGGGGAGAAGCGGAGTGGTGGGGAAGGGTCGAGAGGGGTAACTAAGGGGTGGAGAAGGGGTGGAGGAGAATGGAGAGAGGTAGAGCTCGGGAAAGAGGGAAATGAGAAGGTTTGGTGCAGTAGGAGGGTAAAGCGTCTCACACAGTTGGAAGGCTGAAAGGCTAAGTACACTATCAGCCTTCAAACGTAGAAGATATTGCATGCCTGTTTGAGTTCAAAAAAAAAACTTATAAAAGACTCATGTGCAGGCAGTTTCAAAAGCAGGCAATCCCGTGTGGGGGGCAGCTTGAAGAAGGCGTTGAAAATTTCTCGAGTGGCCGGTGAGTCGAGCCGCAAAATGAGTGCATTCTGAGTCGACTCATAGGTCACCTAGGTAGGGGGCAGCTCATCTTGGACTCTAAGGTGTATTCCGGTTTGACCCAAAGCTCACCTGGGGGGCAGCTTGAAGAAGGCGTTGTATTTTGAGGCGCCTCAAAATACACCTCACTAATAGGTCACCTAGGTAGGGGGCAGCTCATCTTGGACTCTAAGGTGTATTCCGGTTTGACCCAGAGCTCACCTGCGGGGAAGCTTGAAGAAGGCGTTGAAGAAGTCTCGGGTGGCTGGTGCGTCCAGCTGCAGAACTCAAAGGTGCGTTTTGAGTCGCCTCAAAGCTCACCTAGTGGCAGGTCACTTGGGGGGAGGCTCACCTGGGGGGCAGCTTGAAGAAGGCGTTGAAGACATCTCGGGTGGCTGGTGCATCGAGCTGCAGAATGAGTGTCTTTAAGTCGAACCACAAGGTTGTATGTTGAGTTGAGTCGACTAAATAACTCACCTGGGGGGCAGCTTGAAGAAGGCGTTGAAGAAGTCTCGGGTGGCTGGTGCATCGAGCTGCAGAATGAGCTCGAGGCCAAATATCATGAATGATTGCTGCCTCTTGCGCTCTGCTGACCACAGGTGGTCCCAGGCTGAAAATCCAGAGGGCACAGAGCACGGGGGCACAGGGCACAGGGCACGGGGGCACAGGGCACAGGGCACAGGGCACAGGGCACGGGGCACAGAGCACAGGGCACAGGGCACGGGGCACGGGGCACAGGGCACGGGGGCACAGGGCACGGGGCACAGGGCACAGGGCACAGGGCACAGGGCACAGGGCACAGGGCACAGGGCACGGGGCACAGGGCACAGGGCACAGGGCACAGGGCACAGGGCACAGGGCACGGGGCACAGAGCACAGGGCCCAGGGCCCAGGGCACAGGGCCCAGGGCACAGGGCACCTTGAGTTGCAGCTTCTAGTGAAGTTTGGCTGGGAGAGCGCAGAGCAGCAGCGAGAGCAGTGGCATAGTGGGTAGCTCGGTGTTACAGCCCCACAACCGCACTGCACCTAGAACCTGTCGTAACTCACAGGCCCACACTAAGCAACCTACCTTGAGTTGCAGCTTCTAGCGAAGTTCAGCAGGGAGCGCGCAGAGCAGCAGCGAGGGCAGCCCCAGAGCCCCACACCTCAATAGCCCCACAGCCCCACAGCTCCACACCTCGATAGCCCCACAGCTCCACAGCCCAACACCAGCCTACCTTGAGTTGCAGCTTCTAGTGAAGTTCGGCTGGGAGAGCGCAGAGCAGCAGCGAGGGCAGTGGCATAGTGGGGAGCTTCGGTGAGAGAGCGAGTGATAGAGTAGCCTGTTGGGGAGGGGGGACATTTGGGAAAGAGGGATGGAAAAACGGGAAGGAAAGGGAGATGGGGTATTTGAGTGAAGGAACAAGCAGAGCCGCAGCAAGGCAGCAGCATCACCAAAACTCACATGGTGCTTGCGTGCTTGCTTACCTGTGACGACAAGGATCTAACGTTTCACAAAGTTGGTGCTTAAAAAAAACAAACGCCTAGCAAAAAAGCTCACCTGTGACGACAAGAATCTAAGGTTTCAAGAAGTTGGTGCTTCAGAATATCCAATCTCCGATGGTTCGTAAGAGTATCCAATCTTGAGAGTTGGTGGTGCTTACCTGTGGCAGGATGAATCATGGACGCAGCAGCACCAAAGCCCAGGTGCTGCTGCGTGGTAAGAGGGAGAGAGCCGCCCACAGGGATGTAGGACCACTCCTGGTAGGTGGGGCGAAGGGGAGAACTTTTGAGACGTCTCAAAAGGGATGTAGGACCACTCCTGGTAGGTGGGGCGAAGGGGAGAACTTTTGAGACGTCTCAAAAGGGATGTAGGACCACTCCTGGTAGGTGGGGCGAAGGGGAGAACTTTTGAGACGTCTCAAAAGGGATGTAGGACCACTCCTGGTAGGTGGGGCGAAGGGGAGAAGGGAAATAGGGGTGAGGGAGGGCAGGGGCGTGGTAAGCAGGGATGGGGAAAGCCCAGGTGCTGCTGCGTGGTGTGAGGGAGAGAGCCGCCCACTGGGATGTAACACCACTTCTGCCCGGAAGGGCGAAAGGGGAGAGGGGAAACAGGGTGGGGAAACAGGTGGCGAACAGGGTGGATGGGACGTGGCAGAAGGGAAAAACCAATGTGTGTTTCAAGTTAAGCACACCTCCTCCCACAACACTCAAACGGCAAATTTGGGAGGAATGTTGGTGACGTTAAGCAATCATTTTGCAGGAGAAATGAAGGGCACCGGCTCACCTCCTCATGCGTCACGGTGTATTTGACCCCCAGCTGTGCCAGCCGGCTGCGCAGGCGCATTTTGAGTTTACCATAACATTCAAACAGTCACCTCAAGTGGAATGCCAATCACGGCTCTCACCTCCTCGTGCGTCACGGTGTATTTCACCCCCAGCTGTGCCAGCCGGCTGCAGTCACTACATGAGCGAAGAACAACAATCAAACAATCACTCTGAAGAGGACGGTCAGACACGGCTCTCACCTCCTCGTGCGTCACGGTGTATATCACCCCCAGCTGTGCCAGCTGGCTGCACAGTCACTACATGAGCGAAGAACAACAATCAAACAATCACTCTGAAGAGGACGGTCAGACACGGCTCTCACCTCCTCGTGCGTCACGGTGTATTTCACCCCCAGCTGTGCCAGCCGGCTGCGCAGGCGCGTTTTGAGCATGTCAAACGGCATTGCAGGGCGGGATGCCAGGCACGTCTCCTGTTGCGAGTTATGTGTGGGTGGGGGGGGAAAGGGGAGGGGAAGGGGAATGGGTGAAACGGGAGACGGAGAACAGCTTTTCAAGCATGTCAAGTGGCATAGCAGGGCGCGACGACAGGCGAGTCTCCTGTTGCCAAGGGAGGCGTGGGTTGGGGATGGGGTGAAAAGGGGAGTGGGAGAAAGGGAGAAAAGTGTATTTGACCTTGACCCCCAGCTGTGCCAGTCGGCTGCGCAGGCGTGTCTTGAGCATGTCAAACAGCATTGCAGGGCGGGACGCCAGGCACGTCTCCTGTTATGAGAGAATGAGCGGGTGGATGGAAAAAGGGGAGACGGAGGGAGGAAAGAGACAGAGGGAAGCTTTGGAAGCATGTCAAACGGCATTGCAGGGCGGGACGCCAGGCACGTCTCCTGTTACCCAGAGAGGCGTGGGTCGAGGGAGGGGGGAGAAGAGATGACGAAGAACAGAGAGGAAGGGAGAAAAAGGAGGCACTGGAGGCATGTCAAACGGCATTGCAGGGCGGGACGCCAGGCACGTCTCCTGTTACCCAGGGAGGCGCGGGTTGGGGGAGGAGGGAAAGGGGGAGTGGGAGAAAGGGGGGGCAGAAGGCATGGCGTAGAGGAAGCTGGGGCGCTGGGAGAGCTTCTCCTTGGCTGCCTGTTTCTCATGGAGGTTAGACAAGCATACAAGAGATTGAGCATTCCAGTGCCCTCTCACCTGGAAGAAGACCCATGTGGGGGTGGAAGGCATGGCGTAGAGGAAGCTGGGGCGCTGAGGGAGCACTCTCTCCTCTGCCTGCTCCTCGTGACACGGTACGAGATAGAACGAGACATAAAATGCATTGCCCTCACCTGGAAGAAGACCCGTGTGGGGGTGAAGGCATGGCGTAGAGGAAGCTGGGGCGCTGAGAGAGCTGGGAGGGAGCTCCCCCTTGGCTGCCTACTCCTCGTGACGAAGTAACATGGGCGCTGGGTGCAGGGGGGCCTAGAATTTTGAGTTTCATATCCAAACATTCTGCTGCCCTCACCTGGAAGAAGACCCGTGTGGGGGTGGAATGGAAGGCATGGCGTAGAGGAATCTGGGGCGCTGGGAGAGCTCCCCTCGGCTGCCTACTTGTCATGACATCTGATTTAAACAAGCATGGAACGAGCTGAACTTTCTGTTGCTCCCACCTGGAAGAACACCCGTGTGGGGGTGGAAGGCATGGCGTAGAGGAAGCTGGGGCGCTGGGAGAGCTCCCCTTCGGCTGCCAGCTCCTCCCTGGAGCGTTGGAGGTCCCGATAGTCCATGAACAGCATGCTGGCTGGGTTGTACGGGTAGGCTGAGTCCAGCTGCAGGTGGAAGAGGGAGAACAGGAAAAACGGGAAAGGAATTGTAGGAAGACTGTCAGAAGGCATGTCATATCCCCCTCTTCTCCCATGCCTGCTCCTCGGTGGAGCGTGTGAGGTCAGAGTCCAGCTGCGGGGAGAAAGGGAGAAAGCACCAGGCAAGCGTAATGGCTTTTTCTATTGCAGAGATGAAGTTTTATTCTAACAGGCATAGCGTGGGAAAACGCATCGTGCTGGAGCGTGTGACGTCCCGGTGGTCCGTGAATGAGCATGCTGGTTCTGCATTTTGGGCTCTAGCTGTGGAGGGGAGAAACACAGAATCTTAGGACTGCTGCAAAACTCTAACTTTGAGTAGCCATGCCGCAACCAGAATTTCAAATCTGCAGGTTCAGTCCCATGCATCCTTCACGCTCAACTTCATACCTCCACTTCGATGCCGTATGCTGTTTGCACGCCCACGCCTCTCGTGTCATTGTCGTACTTGAGAAACTTCCCAGAAGCTGCTCCAGCCGCCACCACAACGAGCCTGTTTCATGGCCGGATATGAGGATGAAAGAAACGGAGGAGAGCAACCAGCATACGCCATGTTGCTCCACTAAATAGAGACAGCGCACGAGATTGCCCATTGCATGAGAAACTTTATCTATGTGTGTTTTGAGTCGACTCAAAATAGAGGAGAGCAATCAGCATTCCCCATTGTGCTCCACTAAATAGATACAACGCATGAGAGTGCCCCTTGCATGTGCATTTTATTCTCCCTAGTCTGGTGCTGCCACCAGCCCAGCTCACCTGCTGTTGATGCGAGAGCCATCAGTGCATGCCACTGTGCTGCTCCGATGCGATCAAGTGCCGCAAATTCTCATACCAAAGTGCTCATTGTGCGGGCTATCAGGCACTGCCAGGCTAGCTCACCTGCTGTTGGTGCGAGAGCCATCAGTGCATGCCACTGTGCTGCTCTGACATGATCCAATGCATGAGAAGTGTACCTCTCCAGATTCCAGGTGCTCACCTTTCCAGTCTGGTACTCCCACGCTAGCTCACCTGCTGTTGATGATTGACCCATCAGTGCACGCCACTGAGCTGCTCCGTGCATCGTCATCCATGCTCTCCACCTCCTTCTCCACATACCGCACTCCCGCCTGCTGGCATCTGGTGGGTAGGGCGAGCAAGGAATGATGCGATAACAGGCGGAATGTGGCTGCTGAGTAGGCTCAAACGCTACTGTGCTGCTCCGTGCATCATCCTCTATGCTCACTGCCTCCCTCTCCACATATCGCACTCCCGCCTGCTGACATCTGGTGTGCAGAACAGGGCTAGCAATAGAGCATTCGGAAACAGGTAGATTGTGGCTGTTGAATTGATACAAACTTCATTGCTGCTCCGCGCATTGTCCTCTATGCTCTCCACCTCCTCCTCCACATACCACACTCCCGCCTGCTGGCACCCGGGGGCAGGGTGATCAAGGGCAGCGAAGATCTTGCCACCTGGTAAGCACAAAACACGACTCAAGACATCTTGCACCATCATATCATACGACGCCTGTGATGGAGTTGAAAACAGAGGCCAGAGCTGATGGGCGGACCCTCTGTTCGCAGCAGGAATTGGCACCTTTTTGTTGCACGACACACAACTTCCTGGAATCACTTTCGAGAATTCTCAAAAGTGATGTGCGGACCCTCTGCTCGCAGCAGGAATTGGCACCTTTCTGCTGCACGACACACAACTTCTTGGCCGGGAAATACTCAGAGCTGTAAAAATCCAGAACCATGCGTCTCTGGCGCCGCTATAAGAAGTCACAGGTATATTCTAACCTCAGAACGAGCTCGTTGTGGAGTCTTGAGCGCTCTACTCGGCCATACGCCCTCCCCGTGGTGATGGGAACATCGGAGTCTGTGTATAGAATAGTATCGGTCCACACTTGGTCAATGCAGTGGTCCAACCCAATGGCTGCACGGAGTGTGGGGAGGATGGGAGCAGAGGAGGCAGATGATTAGCTTGGGAGCAGTGGCGGGAGAGGATGGTTACATCCAAGCACGGTTGTCCACAGATGGTGTCGGTCCAAACTTGATCGATGCTGTGGGTCCATCCCAATGGCTGCACGGAGTGTGAGAGGATGAGACGGAATGATGATTTTCATTTAAGATTTGAGAAGGGAACATTTTTTAGGCGGTGTGTATAGGATGGTGTCGGTCCACACTTGGTTGGATTTGTCGAGCCAGACGCCGGAGTTGATGACAAAAGGTCCGCGTTTGACACGCTCCGACGAAAGACATGACATTTGAGACGTCCCAGCAGTCGCTTACCTTTGAATTCGTCGAGCCAGACGCCATAGTTGTTGACGAAGGGTGCATCTCGGCCAACCAGCCCCACCGTGAGTCCGCGCTTGGCGCACTCTGCCGCGATAGAGAGCCCTGCGGGCCCACAGCCGACCACCAATACGTCGAGCACCGATGACTCTTTGGTGTCTAGAGGGAGGAGCTGTGCGGGTGACGAGCGGGAAGGGTAAAGAGAGACGAGAACAAGTTTGGCCTTGAAATCCTTATCACATTACTTTTAGGCCTTAAACTTTCAACGTCTTGTGTACAGATTCTTAACATTCCCGTATTTTTCGCAGCAACTTCTGGATTCAAGTACCTAGCTGGCGATCTTTGGCTGGTCCTCCATCGGCTTGGTAGCCTGCATCTGGACATAATGCAGGTCGGAACCACCTGCCTTGGTGAAATTGAGACGTGTTTTGAGACGAATCAAAACACATTCAGAGCAATTCCCGCATTCATATACCTTGCTGGCGATCTTTGGCTGATCCTCCATCGGCTTGGTAGCCTGCATCTGGACGTAATGCAGGTCAGAGCCGCCTGCCTTTGTGAAATCCTCAGTGTTAGCAAACGCTGCTTCGGGATTGGCTGCTGGCGACTCGACCAATGGAGGAATCGCACAAACTGGCCGGCATGATTGATGCACTCTATTTGCTGGAATGACGCTGTGACCAATGGAGGGACCATAAATGATGGACAGAGATGCTCCATGAATTCGTGTTCTCAACCGGCAAATACCACCCTTCTTGGAGTGGCTATGCTCCGAATTTTCTAGCCCATGTAAGGCGGACCGAGCTACAACTGATCCGGCATAAAACCGAGCTGAAGACATCCTGAAAGCTCCTAAAGACCAGCCAGGCCGAGGGTACCGTAATTTAAAATTGGGTACTAACAGTAACGCGAACCCCTCGACCTAATTGGCCTGTAGTGACACCACGAATACAAGGTCGCTTTAGGAAGAAGAGGATTTCACTGATAACTATGAGGCTAAAGGCTGACTGTTCCTTTCATTTGCCTGCTGACAAACACCCCTTAGCAAACCTTGAAAATTCCGCCTGTTCACACCGCTTCCGCTAATCCCCAGTTTAGGATCCTCCCGCTACACAGAGCTACCGCGCGAATTTCCGCGCGTGCGGCACAGCGAATGGGGAGGCTCCAAGTTTCCGGGGAGTTCGTGCAGCGAATCCGGAGTGGCAATTTCGAGGAGGAAAAATCCATGCGCGGGGGTTGTGATTGGCGGCAGCTTATACGCGAATCAGACCTTCCATCTCAAGAACCAGAATACACCAAGGCCTTTGAACTGATTGAATCTACACATAAGCCATTCCAATTAAAAGAAAATGTAACTAAACCAGCTTGATGATAAGTCCAGAGTGAAGAAATTAGAGTTTTACATGGTGAACACTTCATCGCTTAGAAAGCGTTATGTTGCTATTATAAATTATAATTCAATTGAAGGCACCGTACATGGTAAGGCACAAACAATACAGAAGACTCTGCTATCAAGCAAAATTAAATCTGCTGTCTAGGGGAGTTGGCTGCCAAGGAGGAGCCTTCAGGTGACAAGGATTCCCCAAAGGACTCTAAGTTGGGATAAGAACCCCAAGAAGACATGCCAGACGACTGCGGTGGCACAACAAACTCCGCACTCAAGTTGCTGAGCGATGCACAAGATTGGCTTCTTGACTCCTCTGTAATAAGACCTCCATCCCTTGTCATCTCGCTGCTCTTTAGCGAGCCTGGTGCAGCCCCAGGGCTGCACAGGAAATCACACGAGTTGGGAGGCGACACGTGGTTTGCGGGGATCGGAGGAAGTGGCGAGACGGCACGTGGTGGTAGCCCAGCTGACCGACCGGATGCTGAGTTGGCAAGCCGGCGGGAAAGACGGGGTTGTTGCTGCTGCTGGTTGTGGTACTGCTGGTGGAGTCTAGGAGAGGACGCTCTTTGCTGGGGAAACATCTGCAGCTGCATCTGATGATACTGCATCTGCTGCTGCTGCTGCTGCCGCTGCTGCTGCCGCTGCTGCTGCCGCTGCTGCTGGTGCTGCATGTGCTCCTGACGCATCATCTGCCGCTGCATCATCATCCATTCCCGCTTCTCTCTCTCCCTCCGCCTCTCTTCCGCCGCTGCCGCATCCTGTGGCGAAGGCAACGAGCAACCCGACTTCACGCTCCCCTCCTCGTCAGCGATCTCCCCATCGTCGCATTGGCTTTCGCAGTCCGAGTCGATCGCTGTGAACAGGCTCCGAGCACCTGCCGTTGGGCTCCGGACGCGGAGCGACGCCACGGCGACGGACGCGTCCGCGGGGTGCGGAAGCCCCGCCCTCATTGCGCGGCGGTCCAGACTCGTTCGGCGGACGGGCGTCGACGGCGCGGAGGGGCACCGCGCGCGCGGCGCAGGCCGCGGGTCGCGCTGGAAGTCGATTTCGCGGGAATCGCTGCGGCTGTAGGTGGCAGATCTTGAAAAGGACTGCTGCTGCTGCCATTGCGCCAACCCCGGCGGAGGCGGCGACGGTGACGGGACGAGCCCACATGCCGCCGCCGCCGCCGAAGCGTCATAATCCGGAAAAGCGGACCGTGCAGATCCATCTTGCGCACTGCCTGCGCCGCGGTGCAGCGCGCGCCGCTTGCTCCTTCCGCCGGTTGCGCCATCGGCGGAATCCAGGGCGCAGCCTCTGGCGATGTCGCCGCCCTCGAAGTCGGGGAAAGCGGCGGCGGAAGCGGATCGGACTGGCGGAGCCGGCGAGGGGCAGCGGGACGAGCGCATGCTTCCAGCCCCGCTCGTGCAGCCTCCGCAGGAGCGGCCGCACGACAGCTGGCGCTCAAACTGGGGGACTGGACTCAGCTGGCCTGCTTCGGCGCCGTAGCCGTTGAACGCACCGCCATGATCGCCATGAATACTTATAAGACTATTGAGTGAGTTTACGCGCATCGGCTGGGAGTGACGGCGCATGGTCGTCTCATCTTGCCAGAGCTGGCGCGCTTCGGCCAGCGACGCGGCGGCGGATCTAGCGGATGCCGCGTCGGAGAGGGACGCGCGTCGCGACGCGACACGGTTGGTAGCCTGAAACGGCGAGATCGTCTCCTCCTCGTCGTCGTCGTCCGACGTGGCATTGAAAACGTAGTCGGAATGACGCATGGCAGAAGAAGCAGCGACCGCGGCGGCAAGGGCAGCGGCATCGGCGCTTTGTTGGCGGCTGAAGAGCGCTCCGGTATCGAGCGACATGCGGCGCGGAATGAAGCCCGACGCCTGTCCATTTTCAGTAAAAGCTTCCCCTTTCCGTTCGTCTTTCCTCGTCTCCTTGCGAGCACGGCGCGGTGCGGGCCTATCATTGCGATCGCTGTCAAGTCGAAATCCTTTGAAACCCTCGTTGTTGGAAGGGAGAGACTTGGCTCCTTTCAACGGTGGCTGCTTAGGCTCAAGATAGTACGTGCTGCCAGGGTGAAGCGACTTTTCCGGCGCGAGACACGGGCGTGAGGAAGTGATACTGCCGACATGGTGGTCCGGATATTCCGCCATGATATCCGCGACGGTCTTTCCCCCGCCGAACATCTCCATGCTGCCGTCGGGGAGAAGGAGCGAGACGAGCTTGTCGCTGCTTCGCGAGCGGAGGAGCTTATCGAGGCCCCATCGAGACATCGCCATCGCCATTCGGAACACTCAAGGGATCGAAATAAGCACCTGGACGACGCCGCGTTGCCCCGGAATGGAAGAAAAGGTACTTGACGGTCCAATCAGTCTACAGGCTGTAGAGAAAGATACTAGCTTCGACGTGAGAAGCTAACTTGCTCCAGTGCGTCAAGCAAAGGGGAGCGTTGGGAAACGAGATGGAAATTTGTGCGTAGGTGTGAAGCGACATTTATCTCATGGTTGCTTGAGTTAACGTGGGTCGATCGAAGTCGTGGAGGATGGGATGGGATGGGTGGGATGGGAAAGAGCGACGTGAAAAGTTCAGCAACAGACGCGTAGCATGTGTTGTTGACAAGAGGAAAACGTTGAATTGGTGGGCAAAGAGGTCGAGGAAAAGGGGCGTGGTGCTGTACATGTAGTGGATTGTCGAGCCTGGGCGACGTGAGGCTGTACATTCATTGCACATCTTTTATCGTGGTTCACAACATTTTCACAGGGTGGGAAGCGGTTCTCAAGGCTGACCGTTTTGCACCGTGACGAAACGAAGTTAAGCGTACAGAAGCTACCTAACGTCGCCCAGCAGGTGGAAATTGGAGATTGGTGGCGATCCGAGGCTCGAAAATGCGAGATGACGCGAGGTAGACGAGGCCAAGCTGTGTCGGTAACCTGAAGGGCGACAACATGGATGTGGTTGAAATGAGAGACGTCACAAGGGGACCAGCGACTCGAGAAACTTTGCGATTGCGAACGAAGCGCGCTGAGCCAAGCAAATCAACATGGGTGTGCGGTTGACGGAAGAGGCGGGCTGCGCTGCGGGGATTGGGCTTCATCCAATGATGTGGGCTGAGTGCGAATCAAATCGAAAGGGACAAGTCCTGCCCATTTGCACAGCTGAACCGAAAGGGACCAACCAGCCAAGCAGACCAACTCAATTGGAGATTCACGCGGAATCTATGGGACGCAGACAAGAAGTCTCATTGACAGAAACAAGCATCCGTGGCTGACTCTGTCGTCAGTGTAACTGTCCGCTGGCGAATTTTCTTTCTGCTAGCTACAGAGGATTACAATTCTGGTGGCTGTGAAACGCACAGCATTGATAGCCAATAACAGGAAAAAGGCTGATGACTCAAAGAGTCCTTGAATTTCCACGTCATCCAGAATTAGTGGGTCATTTGCGAGCTTGTATAATTCAAACGAGTTGAGTTACAATCCTGCCAAATCTTCCCTGCATCCAAACCTTTTGTCTGCGTTGTCCAGGGTTGTCACTAGTGGTCCCTTCTTATGAGTTGTAAAAGAGAGTGTGCAAGTAAACGAATAACGAAGCTGTGACTGAATCAACTACGCATACAATGAATGCACAGACTAATGTAGGACTACTCTAGCTAGGAGGAAACCTCGGACGAGCGAGGTTGGGTGCAGGTTTGGCGATGGGAAAGCCGAAGGCGACGTGAGGAGCCTCGGCAGCGTTGAAATCGGCCGAACGTGCGAACTCCGATAATCGGGTTGTACGCGAAGCAGTCAACCCCGATAAGGAATTCGGGAAAATTCCTTACATCCCTTGTGCTGCCGAAAGGTCCAAGTTGCAATTCTGACTCCAAATCGTTACCATAGCGATCGACATTCACATTGCTCTGCAAGTAATTCTTTTTTACCGATATAAATTATGGAAACTAGAAAGCTTTCAAGTTTCCTTGCACGTATGTGTAAGGAGGACAAAACCATTACCGTAGTTGCTAAAGCATGAGCTTATACGAAGCATGTTTTTCTCAATCAACCATATCCCCCACTCCACTGCCATTACCATCACCATCATCGCCTCGCCATGCCCCGCCTTTCGCTCCCCGTCAACTCCGCCACATGCGCCGAGTTGCCCGCCTTTCTCCCTCACCGCAGCACCGCAAACACCCACATTTCGATTGCCGTGAACGGCTGGCAAGGAGGGCAATTCGTCAGTAGCTTTCAGGCCAGTAATGACCCCGTTATAAGCACATCCCACAATCTATTTCTCTCGTCCGTTTCGCGTCCCATTTCCTTCGATCCCCAATCTCGTTTCAAGCGAACCGTTAGTGCGGCTCCACGCTTATCGAGCCACTCGCGAGCCGCAAAATGCGTTCCCAACGGCGATACTTCCGCTGTACATGACACCGCTATCGGCTCTCCGTCACTCCGACGGTCTACGAGTTACCTAATTCCCGTTAACCGGCTAGCTATTGACGGACCGTCGTCTTCGACATTGTCCTCTCTAGCTTTGTACAGGTGGCATCCCTCTCGACGTAGTTTTGTACGGGTGAAATCAGCAGAAGGATCGCCTGAACACCCACCTGAAGATTTGTATGAGGATTTTCGGGATCTTCAGCCCGAAGACCTGCAGCGAATATGCAATTCAACGGGGTCAACGCAGTCAACGCCGCAGCAGCCGGATCGTGTTTTCGTGGCGTCGATCCCATTGGATGCGCCGGCCGGACCTCCTCAGTGGGTTGCTGACGTGGCAGGACGGCTGTTTCCTCTGCTGTGCAGTCACTGGGTGGTGATTATAGCGAGAGAGAATGGAGAGGTGAGGCTTTTATGGAAAAGGCGGGAGATTGAAAGGGATGTCCCTTCCCCACCTCCCCCAATGTTCCCCATATGTTCCCCCCATGTTCCTCCATGTTCCCGGTTCCCCACGCTCGCCCATGTTCAACCATGTTCTCCCCATGTTCAACCATGTCCTCCCCATGTTCAACCATGTTCTCCCCATGTTCAGCCATGGTCTCCCCATGTTCCTCCATGTTCTCCCAATGCCTCCTCCAGGGCCACTTCATGTGGCCCCCATGTTTCCCCCATGTTCCCCCATTTCCCCCCGTGCTCCGCCTGATGCTTCCCCATCCTCCCCCCTTCCTCCTCCCCCCACCTTCTCCCCCCTCCCCCCTCCCTCCTCCTCCTCCTCCTCCTCCTCCTCCTCCTCCTCCTCCTCCTCCTCCTCCTCCTCCTCCTCCTCCTCCTCCTCCTCCTCCTTCTCCTCCTCCTCCCCCTTCTCCCATTCTCTCCTCCCATTCTCTCCTCCCATTCTCTCATCCCATTCTCTCCTCCCATTCTCTCCTCCCATTCTCTCCTCCCTCCCCAGCCTTTGAGATGTTGAGGCCTTCCTCCTCTGCCCTCCTCCGTACCCCTCCTCCGCCCTCTCCCCAGTCCTGCCTCTTTTACTTAAAGGCTGTATGAACAGCCTTTCAGTAGAAGAATAGCCACGTGTTTGAAGAAGTGTTTTGAGACGTCTCAAAACACTTCTTAAAGGCTGTATGAACAGCCTTTCAGTAGAAGGCACTGGAGAGGAGATACTGGAGCTCAGCTCAGCTCAGCTCAGCTCTGCTCTGCTCTGCTCTGCTCTGCTCTGCTCTGCTCTGCTCTGCTCTGCTCTGCTCTGCTCTGCTCTGCTCTGCTCTGCTCTGCTCAGCTCTGCTCATCTCTGCTCTGCTCAGCTCTGATCTGCTCTGCTCTTATTTCCTGGAAAGGTGGGCGAGCACTGGAAATGATAACAAAATATCATTTCCTCCTTCACCTCGCCTTCCTCTGCTCTCCTTCTCCCCTCTCCCCTTCCGCGCTCCTCCCCCCTCCCTCCCCCTAGCGCTACCTCTTTGACTTGAGGCCGGATGACCCACAGAACATGCAGGTGGCACTCACATGACCCAAAGGGGGTGAAGGCCCTCAGTTGTTCCCGCCCACCTTTCCCCTCCTTTCCTCCTCCCCTCCCCCCAGTGCTACCTCTTTTACGTCAGGCTGGATAACCTGCGAGATATGGGATTTGAGATTTCGTGATCACCTCTTTTACTTCAGGCCGGGGTGCACATAAAAAAATCGCGGGGGATGGGGAACAAAAAAAAATTGACCGTATTGTGGGCATCAAAGGTTAACCGCTGATGCCCACCCAGGTGAAAGTGCAGTGCACCCTGGCTTTAAGCCTGTTTGGGGTTTCGGGTTTTAAGCCTGTTGTTCTCTACACACGTTCTTCTCCTCTTCCTTCCCCCTTCCCCCTTCCTCCTCCCCCACCTCCCCCCTCCCTCCAGTGCTACCTGTTTGACTTCAGGCCGGATGACCCACAGGACATGGGAGTGGCTCTCAGAGTGCTGGCGCTGCAGCCTGTGCCTGGTGAGTTGTGTGCGACTTTTGAGATGTCTCAAAAGTCGCTGCAGCCTGTGCCTGGTGAGTCGTGTGCGACTTTTGAGACGTCTCAAAAGGCGCTGCAGCCTGTGCCTGGTGAGTTGTGTGCATGGCCTGGGTGGGTGGGTGGGTGGGTGGGTGGGTGGGTGGGTGGGTGGGTGGGTGGGTGGGTGGGTGGGTGGGTGGGTGGGTGGGTGGGTGGGTGGGTGGGTGGGTGGGTTGTGCTGTTCTCAGTCAGTGGTACTGGCGGGTAGGTGGGTGCATGCGTGGGCGGGTGGGAGCTAGCAGGACATGGGAGTGCCTCTCAGAGTGTTGGCGCTGCAGCCTGTGCCTGGTGGTTGGTTGGTTGGGTGGGTGGGTGGGTGGGTGGGTGGGTGAGTGAGTGGGTGAGTGGGCGGGTGGGTGTGTGAGTGCGTGGGTGAGTGTGTGAGTGCGTGGGTGTGTGTGTGGGTGGGTGTGTGTATGTGTGAGTGCGTGGGTGGGTGACAGCTGCAGCCTGCGCCTGGTTGGTGGGTAGAATCTGCATCTGTCACATGCCTTGCCTTTTCACATGCCTTGCCTTTTTCCATGCCTTGCCTTTTTCCATGCCTTGCCTTTTTCCATGCCTTGCCTTTTCCCATGCCTTGCCTTTTCCCATGCCTTGCCTTTTCCCACGCCTTGCCTTTTCCCATGTCTTGCCCACATGCGACATGCCATGGGTTACCATGTTCCATCCATGCACTGCACCTGTGCCACGTGGTTGGCTGCCAGGTGCCCACATGCCCCATGCCATGTCCCATGCTGTGTCCCATGCCATCCATGCCTCATCCCATGTCCCATGTCCCATGCCATGTCCCATGCTTCCCCCCCTCTCCCTGCCGATTGCCGTCAGGCTATAAACTCGTTCATGCACTTGCATCTGCCACTTCACTTCCCTCCTTCCTCCCTCCTAACGCCCCCCAGACTGCCTGCTCGTTTGACCACTGTTCCCCACCCTGCCTTCGTTCCCCTGCTGGTGTGTTGGCTCGTCTGCTCGCGCTGTCAAAAATCCCCCTTACTCCGTTTCCCTCCCTCTTGCCATCCTACTGTCCCGCCATTTCCAGGCTATATGCTCATTTGTCCGCTCTCCTCCCTCCCCTCCCGCCGCTGCTGGTGCGTCGGCTCGTCTGCTGGCTGGGTCAGATTGCCCCATTGCTCCGTTTCCCTCCCTCTCACCATCCCACTGTCCCTCGATTTCCAGGTTATCTGCTAATACGCCCGCTCTCCTCCCTCCCCTCCCGCCGCTGCTGGTGCATCGGCTCGTCTGCTCACTCTGACACGCTCGATGCTGTCCAATCGTTCAACGCCACGTGGCGCACTGACCTCACGGTTTTCTCCAACGATTGCAGAGACTACAGCCAAGGTACGTACGTAAAATGACGCCTAATCACGAAATGCCACGTTGCACACTTGATTTGCTGATGGTGTTTCCTAACGATTGTAAGGACTACAGCCAAGGTACGTTTGATTTGGCTCTCCCACATTTGTACAGATTGCAGCCATGGGATAAACAACGTGAATCTGCAGTGCATCGATTGGGTATTGCTATCTTGCAGGGGTATTGCTGCCGGCGCCCTTCCTTCCTAAGGGGCAAGAACGAACAAAAAGAAAACATTTTGCCGTCAATCAGAGCATGGAGTAGACATTGCTGCTGGTCCCTGTCTGTGCTTGCCTCATGCTCCTCATGCTCTCAACGCTGCATGCATGTCCCTATTCGTGCTTGTCTCGTAATCCTTATACCCCTGCTGCTGCATGCATGTCCCTGTCTGTGCTTGCCTCATACTCCTTATGCCCTTGCCGCTGCATGCATGTCCCTATTCGTGCTTGCCTCGTACTCCTTATGCCCTTGCCGCTGCACGCATGTCCCTGTCTGTGCTTGCCTCATGCTCCTCATGCTCTCAACGCTGCATGCATGTCCCTGTCTGTGCTTGCCTCATACTCCTTATGCCCTTGCCGCTGCATGCATGTCCCTATTCGTGCTTGCCTCGTACTCCTTATGCCCTTGCCGCTGCACGCATGTCCCTGTCTGTGCTTGCCTCATGCTCCTCATGCTCTCAACGCTGCATGCATGTCCCTGTCTGTGCTTGCCCCTCTACTCTTTGGGCGCAGCGCTCGTATCGCATCTAACAGGCGAGAAGATTGACCTCAGCTTGTACTTGTGAATCGTGAGTAGTGAAAGAACAGGTTATAAAGACAGAATATGCGAAGTTACTCTTGACTGCATAGATGCTTAAGGTACATTCCGGGGACAGTTGTGTCACAATCCCAATTTTGATTCGGTACAGAGGGGTACCAGGGGTGAAAATTGGGATTGTTGTGAGACAAATGTCCCCGCAGGAATGTAACCTAACTCATTCTCAACATCTTTTTCAGTGTCATCTGCTAGCAAATGTGATAGATTGAACATCCATTGATGTCCGTGTCCTCCTTAGACAGCTGCTGACATTGCACAGCTCCACATGACCAATGTTTGTGTGTTCTATTTACACCAATTTTCCTTTCACCATGGTTCATGGAAGAGTGTAGCGGTGATGCGACGGGAATGATGTTTGTTTGTGCTTGCAAGATGCACAAGTAGCCCATACAATGACATAACTTTTTGGAATTTCTCACAATACCGACAGAGATGCGACGGGAGGAGTTTCTCTATATTGCGAACATTTTCCACTCTGAAACACCTGACGAGGAATATGTCCCAGTCTCCGTGGTTCATTCAAGCCAAATCCTCTCCTTTGATAGGGCACGACACCAATCTCCACACCACCCTGAAATGCGGCAAATTGGAAAGGGGAAATGTCACAAGTCGCACCACGAGAACCAGTTCTGTTTGGAGCCACTTCTTTTTCCCCCCATCCGACGTGGCCACGCCTCCGAGCTGGAATTCCAATGTGCGTCACTCATCAAACCACTCATCGGCAAGCAAGGCTGGAACCGCTCATCAAAGCCTATCAGAATTTCCCACTTCAACCCCCCTCTCTTCAAAACATTGATCACCCCTGCGAATGCCAGATTCCTGGACGAAATTCGGAACAAGTCGCCAAATTTTGTCAGTGCCTCCTCAATTCATACCTGGAATACTGGGGGCAGGTTGCAACACCTAATTGCTTGACAGCATATAATACCACTCCGACATTTTGCTCAATCCAATTCACACATTCCGTCTAGCGTCGCTGACCAAAGCGCTTCTGTACATACTCCCGCATTTTAAGGCGCCTTCTTGTCACGACGCTCTCACACAATGGCCGCGACTCTCTCTTCCTCGGCATCCGCCACCCTTCGCTCCCTCTCGATCCCAGAGGGTACAACCCTCCCCTCTTCCTCCCGCGCGGCAATCCCTGGGTTCTCCGGCCTCAAGGCCCAGAAGGCCCTTTCCGCCTCTGCCGCTCAAACATGCACCTGCATGACGTGCGCGAAATGCGGTAACGGTCGCACAAGCGTCGTCACCATGGTCAGCGCCGACAACCAGTTCGCGAGCGTCTCTCAGTCCACCGCCGCTCCCGCCGCTCCTGCCGCCACCGCCCTCCTTCCCGCCATCGTCGGCGCCGGTGCTCTTGGCGCCGCAACCTACGTCGCCGTGAAGAAGCTCACCGCATCTCCCGCCGCCGCTCCCGCCGCACCCGCCGCACCCGCCGCCGCCGCCTCCGCCCCCGCCTCAACACCCGCGCCGCCCAGCGGTATCGTCCCGCGCGCGAAGCACGCGGCGGCGTCCGCTCTGGCGACGATGGCGACGACGTTCCCGTCGGCGATGCAGGAGGAGGCCTTCCTGAAGGCCGTGGCAGTGGAGCTGGCGAAGCTGGGGTTCCGCAAGGACAACGGCATCGCGCTGGTGAACACGTGCCGCGACGAGGTGTGCCGGCCCGTGGTGAGCATCATCGACCGCGAATTCGGGCTGAGCTTCAACATCTCGGGGCTGGGCGGGCTCGTCAACTGCGGCAAGGTCGGCTTCGGAGCTGCCATGAGCCACTCGCCCGAGTTCCCCTGCGACGTCGACGGCAACCTCAAGGAGAGATGTACGTTTGGGCTCTCAATACATACATAGTGCTGATTTTCCTGTTTGCCACTACGAGCCTTCCAGTCGCGTTTCCTCATATTGCTGCCCACTTCTCCTGTTATTGTACCCGATCGCATACCCAGCTGAGCTGTGCCCTTTCACTGATTAACCCTCTAATTTACTTCTGTCTGTGTTTCCTCCCTGCAGACATCTTCTTTGCGTTCCCGCACGTGTCCATCGGTGAGTCCGGCGAGGTGGGGTCTCTGCTGCGTCGCGGTCGCGGCAAGCCGTCGAGCGCGTGCGGCGCGTTGATCGCCATCAACAACGACATCAACAACGGCGTGGCGCCCAGCATGGACAGTGACGACCCCGAGTACACGCTGCTGCGCAAGAAGATCATGGCCAAGGTACGAACACGTTCGTAATTTAAAAACTGCCTCGTTTCAGGGCCATTAACACAAGAAATAAACATGAAGAGCTAATGGTTAGCCATAAAGACTTGGAATTAAAACCTCGCACATTTGATCCCGCCTCCTCATCTCGCCCCGCAGGTGTCGCCGGGCGGCAACCAGTCGCTGGTGGACGTGACGCGCGCGGCGCTGGCGGCGATCAACGAGGACTTGGAGAAGCTCATCTCGCTCACGGTGAACCCCGCCACGGCGGACTACGCCGTCATCACGGGCGTGCAGATCCACTCAGGCGATCAGATTCCCGGCCAGCCCTTCCGCATCGAGCGCACCTGCGACTACATTGCGCCCGACAAGATGTACGCCGTGGTGCGCGGCCAGAAGTACGAGTTCACGGTGGAAACGCCCAAGTCGCAAGGCGTCGCCGCCATGGTTTGAAGAAATTTATTGCTAAATAAAGAAGACTCACTTCATGTTTTTATTTTCTTTAATAAAGCGTTAGGTTGAATGAATGTGTCAATCAGTTTTTTACTGATCCTCAATCATGCGTTGTGATTGGGCAGTCATTGAAACTGTATGGGAACTAACATGTCGGTTCAAGGCTAAGGACGCGGTAACATGCGTTGTGATTGGGCAGTCATTGAGACTGCATGGGAACTAACATGTCGGTTCAAGGCTAAGGACGCGGTTAAAGTGCTAGATTGGGGGGAAATTGATCCGGTCAACGCACTGAAACCTCGCATTTTTTATACAAAAGATAGACAACCGTTTATAACCGTGCTGAAAAACGAACTTGAGGCGATCGATTCTCCACTTTTACCGCGTCCTAAGGGCGACGTCAGGTTATACATTTCTCATGGGTATACAGTTCTTGTATCGTAGTTCAAGACGGGTCAAAAACGGTGGAAAGCGGTTTTTGGCGCTTACCGCTCTGCACCGTGTTGAAACAAAGTTAACCGCAGGGGCGTTCAAAAAGTTGTACAACCTGACGTCGCCCTAATGCTTACGTTCAGTTTCACCAAGCCATGGCAGTTTAGCTGCAGGTGTTGATTGTAAATCTAAACGCGACGCTTGTTTTTCAGAAGCGATAGCACAGCCATGTTCGAAAGTGGGGGTGAGGAAGAAAAGACTTAGGCTATTGTAATGCCGTTCTTGCCATGGTGAGAAGCACGAGGAAATCGTTGACCATCGAGATGCCAACGATAAGTTATTGAAATCAGAAATTGGAAAGCGCATCTGCGACAGCGAGTTGCAGTGGGCTGAAATATGATGCAGTGGAATGGGATAGAAAGGGATTCAAATGCTAGAAAAATCTCAGCGTGATGATTTATTGGGGTAACGTACTGAATATAAAGCGCCATATTATCAACAAAAGGTAGAATAAAGTTGCTTTCACCATTCTTTCCAAAAAACCTCTTGTTCACCAGCGTTTATTTTTCTTCTTATGATTCTGCATACAACAGATGGCATACTGTTAAAACCCCAGTTCCATATGGGAGTTCCGCTTGATGCTATGTTCGCAATGAGGGCGATTATATTACTTAGAGACACATGTACAATTTAATTGGCAGAACGCTTCTTAGAAGCGAAAACACGATAAGTGCACTGCAGTCACTGCATATCATTAACGTGACGCCGGAACACTAAACCATGGCGGCGACGCCTTGCGACTTGGGCGTCTCCACCTTGAGCTCGTACTTCTGGCCGCGAACCACGGCGTACATCTTGTCGGGCGCGATGTAGTCGCAGGTGCGCTCGATGCGGAAGGGCTGGCCGGGAATCTGATCGCCTGAGTGGATCTGCACGCCCGTGATGACGGCGTAGTCCGCCGTCTCGGGATTCACCGTGAGCGAGATGAGCTTCTCCAAGTCCTCGTTGA